GTGGCTTATCATCATGACAAAATGTATAGCAGCCAAACACTCGACCACGGGGAGAGATACACGCACACTCCAAATATACAGCAGGCGTCAGGGTCGGGATCGAACCCACGACCACCTAGATACCAGGCGAGGGAGTTAACATCTCACCACCGCGGCCGCATACCCTGATACATAAACTATGTTCACCTCTCAATAACACATGGAACACCAAAATTCTCCCACGGCACTTTAAAGATGATCAGATTAACTCAATATACAAGAAGGGTGACCATCCCAATAGCAACCATTGCCGTGAGATCTCACTTCTCAATGTTACTGCTGGCAAAATTCTCGCAAATGGGTGTTGTTTTTTAATATATATATTTTTAAACCGCGTGTTTGTTGTATGTACATTATTTACATACTAAAGCTTCATTGAAAACTGCATCACGAGCTCAATTTAATATTTTTTTATTTTGTAAATGTTAATATACGCTGAAAAAGGAATTAAGGGAACACAGTCGAGACAGAGAAAGAGGAAACACACGAATCAGGAAACATGGGCATATTTAAGACAACATATTTCAAGCTCTTTGGGTCTTTCGGTAAAGCCACGTAGATAGAAGAAAATTTATTTTTAAAAATACAAATATCACGACGTTTCGATTGCAACACAAGCAATCGTCATCAGGTGAAAAAAACAAGGCGGCCGGGCATGGTGCGGGCCACCCACCCCCTCGTGTGCTGTGTCGGCCTTCATAGTTGCTCTAAGACAGCGCTTGCCCCAACAGTCTGTTAATAGGCTATATAGGGGATATATCCGTCTTTTTAACACGTAGGCTGATTAAGTTAATTGTAATTACTGGTGAAACCTCATGGTACTCAGATTGTAAATGTTGTGGCTTGGCTCTCCAACACATCAGTGTGCTGTACTAGTGACGAATTGACATGTTCTGTTTGTGTGACAACCCTTACTAGTTGGCTGTGTCGGGTGGTGGCGGGTTTTAACGACACATTTATATTTTTACGCGATCTAACCCGAAAAAACCCTCTATTATGGATCTCTATCTTTGTCCGCCAGATGCTTGCACGGCAAAGGTTGAGGTGGCCACCGTCTCGCGTCCCTCGCCTGTACCACCATGCACCACGGTATCAGCCAATGATACGGCGCTTTCGGGCACAGTATACCCTCGAAAGGCCAAAACTAACCCCCGCGACAGCTAAATTGGTGTACAGAGAGGTTGCCCGCAGTAGGTCGAAACCGTGAGCGATAAACCCGCAATATTCACGGAGAGTCTCCTGTACGGTTTTGTGATTGATCCGGCTTAAGGCACCTCGCACCAATGTAACCACCAGGGGGCATGATATTACTTAAATCATCACTATAACCACCAGGGGGGCATGATCTTACTTAAATCATCACTCTCAATCTGGAGACGTTTGTCCAAGTTGCTTTCACTTACGCCCCTTTATTAAACATTTTATACCTACGTTTACATTCTTTCAAATTTTTGACGCTCAATATCTTCGGATCTACGAAGCCAAAAGAGATAGGTTCAAGTTAAGAAAACTATTATTAATTTGGTGAAAACCTGCAGTCACGAAAGCTTTAAGTCAAGATTGAAGCCTAACGTGTTGAACATGTTTTTTTAGACAGGCTGGCATCGCGTGACGATTCAAGATTTAATTAAAAATCGGTCCATTGTCCCGCCGATCCTGCACCTATTCGTGTTTATGACTTAATCGTAATAGGTATTATAATTAATGAGGATTGATTACACTGGTCAACAACAACACAATTCTGGCCTGGACTTTGCAGCTGTTTTAGACTAATTTCAGGGTGCTGATTCCAAATCTGATCTCAGATTTGCTCTATCACATCTCATTTTATGCTATCGGCATACCCCATTTTCATTGATTTTACCCGAATTTAACTCTGTCACTTATGATTGCAAGTTGTTGCGAGTCAGTGACTGCTTTAGTGTTAAAATATGGTGCTGTATTTTTAGGATAGTGTGTTTATAATATAATTTTATGTAGATATCCACATTTATTTAATATTTTTCTTCTGCAGTTTTTTTTATTGAAAATGCAATATTTGATATCTCAAAAACCTGATGTGATAGACAAAAACTGATGCCAGATTTGGAATCAGCACCCCAAAATTACATTGAAACCGTTGGAATACCTTGTGCCAGACAAAAGTGTGTTGACCAGTGTTATAATCCCCCCCCCCCCCCGCCATTACAAATCTCGAATGGTCGCGCCTAGTCACGAGGTCAAACGTCTCATCCAATCAGAGCGGCTGTTTCTGGGCAGCTCCCACGGACCAATGAGAGGCGTCCTTACATCGCCGCTCGTGGTGGCGCCGGAGCGGCCGCTGTAGTTTCTTTTTAGCACGAGACCAACAATTACAATAATAACGATTACTACGACTGCTGTTGTTAAAATAATTACATAGTTATAATCGTCATGAATTGCGGCATCGTTTGCTTTGTCACGCTCGTGCCGACGCACTGAGTGCAAGATGATTATGGTCAAGTTGAGCGACCAGGTGAGAACCTTGATCATGTTTTACGATTAAATGCCAAAATGTTATCCCCATTTTAATTGGCAAAATGTTCTAATTATTCATTTTGATTTTAATGTTTTACATTAAAGTGCTAAATCTGTGCTCGTGGACTGGTGTACATATGCGCGCATTGTTTCCGATTGCATATATTACAGAACTTAATGATCACAAATATGACAAACGCATTATACGTGTCGTATTCTAAATATTATTTTACCACTTTGTAATCGGAGTGATCATTCTAATTGTAAGAGCCGTTCTGCGTGCTATCACCCTTTCATTACAAAGACTGTTGTATAGCAATGTGCATGCCTTTCATAGTAGAGTCAAGGGTTGACATTCACCTGAGGACGGCTGCTTGCGTTGTGGTCGAAACGTCGTGAGAATTGTATTTTATAATGTTTTATTTTTATTATTTCCCTTCTACGTGACTTTACCGAAAGAACCAAGAAGATACTTCACTTTGGTTGAGCAGTGCGGATTGGTACAGTACAACTGGATATAAACACAGCGTGTCCCAGCAGCCCTATGACAACCTGTTTGTGCATAGTGGGCACCCATCCAGATACCCTCCAAGCTCAGATCTGCTTGGCTTTTGAGGTCCGACCAGATCTGGCGCATTCCAAATCCGGGTGATTTGTTTATAGGCTTTGACGGTGATAGTGTTGTTGTTCTTAACAGTTTACATCTCGCAGTAGCTAGATGTTAACTACCTCGCTTGGTATACAGGAGGTGGTGGGTTCGATCCTGACCCTCACGCCTATAAATTTGGAGTTTGCATGTTCTCCCCGTGGTCACGTGGATTTTTCTCCAGGTCCACCGGTTTTTCCTTCCACATTTAGAAACATGCTTCGAGTATTTGGCTGCTATGCATTTGCACGTGATAAGCCACTTCATCGGCCTATCATTGTGGCCAGGTTGCTTCTGAATGTGAGCTACATAGCTCTCGTGAACCTTACTTGGTAAAATAAAATATAATTTACATAGTTAAAAATGTTTCGTAAAAAAAACACTTTTTCAATGCACACACTTGTATTTGCACTTTCGTTATGTTGAATTGTCTATATGCAAGCCACCCACTTTTATTCCGCACATCAAATTTGATTAATTTTGGGGTCAAAACTATTTATTGTCTACTTTTCAGTGCAAATAAAAGTGTGTGCATTGAAAAACGTGTTTTTGTTTACCAAAATTATTGTTTGCATAGCATTGGAGAAAACCGGAGTGCCAAGATCAAACCCATCACACTTCCAAGGACACGATGCTCAAACTTTATACACACACATATCCACAACCTATTTGCTGTACTGTTATATGCCGGCAATTTAGCAGTCCTCCCAATACTTAAAAGGCTCACAACAAGATCCCAATGTGATCAAAGAAATATATCCACGTGCTGATTACAGGTATGCATGTGTGTGTGTGGGAAGTGCCAGTGTAGCGGTTAGCACGCTGCTGCGCTAGGCACCTGGCGACCCGAGTTCGATTCCCGCTCATGGCCAACAACAATGATAGCGATGATCTGAACCAGTCATGGACCTCCCCTAGGTATACTCAGCCTTAAATGAGTACCTGGTGTGTGTAAACATCACCACTGGGAGACAAAGGCCATCCACCCCCTCGTGTGCCGTGTCGTGCCGACCTTCATAGGTGCTCGTGAACAGGACTTTCCCCAACAGTTTGTTCAGGCTATACGGGGTGTCTTTGTGTCGCCTTGTCCGGTGTTGTATATATTGTGATGATTAAAAATAATAAGATAATTTAAAAAATGTTAAAAAACCACAAGACAACTTAGATTAAGGCCACAACAAACAAACATGGCCAAACCAAAAAACTTTTCGAAATCACCAAAATAAAGCCATAAAAGCAATGTAACAGTGATCATAGGAACTGTGACCGAATTTTCACAATAAACGACGTAAACAACATGTACTACCAAACTCTGCAGCCATAGCTGGCTGCATGAGTCACTCCACAACAGCAGGAGCATCAGTCGGAGTATCAACATTTTCCAATGCACCTTTAAGATCAGCACACTAATTCAAAATACAGATCATACTTTGCAGCGATCATCCGGAGCGAAACATTGTATTTTAGGCCACTGAATTGCAGTGGCAGCTAGGGGTGTACAACTCCTCTAGAGCAGTTTTGAGTGAAGATCTCATAGGTAGTGATTCAAGTTGCAGTTTCTTGGCAATAGCATTCCAGACCCTGTCATTATGCAGGTCTCAGGATTCAGATCTTACCGCAGGATACAGTTCCCTTAAATAAGACAATGAATGATGCACGTGTTAGGAAAGAAGCACTCAGACCATTCTTTAATATCAGCAACTTTAATATCAACTTAACCTAACATCCAAAACACATAATCAGAATAGCAACAACAACACTCATACAAATATATGTACTCATCAAACCGTACTGAATTATTTAAAAAAAAATGGTCGAATCTCACGATTACGTGATTAAACGAGAACAGGCAAATACCTCAAAATGGCAATATTCACACGGAATGTGTGCTGGTACATGATTATAAAATGGTTAGAAAGCATCAACGATCGGATCTCACGATCAGGTGGTTAACAGAAAGCAATCCGGCTAATGTATCATGGTAACGCGACAATGCATAAGTCATTATTAGACCTCCTTTGCCAGTACCAAAATATAATAATAGGGGTTTTCCCCTTTTTTCTGGCAACACAACTGAAACCTTTTTACAAGGATTCATGTTTACATCAACCACAATAATTGTGGTCAAAATGCTAAAAAAACACTGATAATGTATGCATTGTCCTTGAAACTGATTGGTCCACACCAGAGACGATGTCACAAAGCTCTGCCCCCCCCCCCCCCCCAAAAAAAAAAACATGCTTCAAATCGCTTTAAACTATTGTCATTGCAGTGCGAATTTAATGTGGCGCTGCGCTCCTGGCCCAGCACACTGCCTGTCAGCCGTTTTTGGAATGGCTTGGTTCGTGAGCGCCCGTTGTTTGCTCACCCTCAGCAGATCACCCCCTGTGCAGCAGTCTGAACGTGTCCACACACACTCTTAACACATTCTCAGCCCCTTCAATAATTGTCAGTCACTGGGCACGACCAATAAAAACTTTTCCAGCCTATAGCTTGGACAATACTTAATGCACCCTCGATTTTGGTGTATGACTCTAATCTTTACTTAACTTCTCACACGTCTTAGCTTAACACAGCATTATATGAAAATCCCTTCGCACAACGCTTATCACAACTCTATGCTTATCACAACTCTTAACTAAGTACAGCACAATTTATCGAAGTCCTTGACTCTGCAAGTGACTCAAAATGTAAATAAAAATATGGAACACCACTTGGCTCCTCTTAGCGACTCGGAGCCTTTGCCTCTGAAAAGCTCCAACGTATGGCTGATTACGAGGACCAGACCCCAGAGTTTGCCTCTGCCAGACTGGTTTGTGTGAACACTTTTACACCCTTTTATTCATTCGGTCAATCTTAGTTCACCTTTTGTTCTGGCTCCCTGGACATCCTAGAGCCAAAGTTATCAGCTCTGCCCTTCTTCCCCCTTTCCCCCAGAGGTCATCCCGAGATAATGAGAATCCTGATGTACTTGGTTGCCCCTGGTGATGTCTTTTGACTCGTAGAAGCTAACCGCTGGGTGTGTGTGTGTGGATTTTGTTTCTTTGCCCCTTCTATTGAGGCTGCTTCACCGAATTCGATTCCTCCTCAATCAATAAAGTTGCAGTTATCTGCTCAGGTTATGATTCCCAACTTAGGTTGACTCATCCTAAATATGAATACCTGCTGCAGCATGCAATGATAGCCACTGGAGAGACAAAGGTGGTCAGGCATGGCTTGTTATGTAGATTTGACAATTTGGTCGTGTAGATTTGACAATTTGAATATATCTAAAAATACCAATTGTTCTGAATGATCCTTAGGTTCATCTCTTCAACCCGAGCTTCCATAATTTCACTTTCATTAAGTTGCACATGCTTAACCCGTCTTAAGACCGTATGTCATAACAGTAATTGTTAATAAGGTCACGTAAAATAGTCACATTAAAACATTCTGGGCCTAGGTTGTTATAACAGAGTACGTAAGTTTACCAAAGTTAACGTTTCATACCATGATGTTTAAGAATATCACAAACGTTGATTGCAAATTTGAACGTTTCAACTTTCCAAACGCCAACACTTGTACAAAGTTAATAGCTCGGGTCTCGAGTTATTTTTGCCATGGTCAGCTTATACAACAGGCGTGCGCTCGTTTGGCCTCCCTATAGCCCTTTCTGACCTCTTTGGTCATTTACTTTTGTGGTCCCGTTTGTTTAAAGATAATTTTTGTTTGTCAAATTGTCATTCGAATGCTAATTCTTTTTGGCTCCTCGCTTTGTTTTTTAAGCTCAGAACACACTGATTTCACAGATATGTCTACGAGGAGCTATTACATTAAAAGTGGGCAATATCACACTTAGTATTCATTTTTGGAAAAAAAGCATATATACAACGCCGAATAAATGAAACGTCCGACTGAACCCCGTGCTCTTGAGTTTGAATTCCATGCGAGTGCTGCGTGGTGTCGTTAAGTGCATGCGTGTGGTTCCCGAGGTACTCTGTTTTAGGCATTCGTGTACGTGGGGTGGTTTAACTTGTCATAGGCGTTCTCCGCAGGCGGCTTCAGAGGCTGCAAAATAAACCAACACGTGCATTCTCCATCATTAGACCTCCTTTGCCAGTACCAAAATATAATAATAGAGTTTTTCCCCTTTTTTTTTTGCAACAAAACTGAAACATTTTTTACAAGGATTCATGTCTGCATTAACCACAATACTTGCATTCAAAATACAAACAAAAAACATACTATGATAATATATGCATTGTCCTTGAAACTGATTGGACCAATCAGTTTCAAGGACAATGCATATCTTATTGGACCCATCAGTTTCAAGAACAATGCATATATTATCATAGTATGTTTTTTGTCTGCATTTTGACTGCAAGTATTGTGGTTAATGCAGACATGAATCCTTGTGAAAAGGTTTCAGTTTTGTTGCCAGAAAAAAGGGGGAAGACCATATTATTACGTGCATTCTCATTTCGAATATGTACAATTTGCAATGATATCAAGTGAAATGTGCGTGTGGGGGTGGCGACTGGTCTTGATTGGTGGGGCCACTGAGCCCGATGCTACAGAGGTCACGTTTCTGATTAAATGCCCACGTGGAGAAATTCTGGATCGTAGCAACAGACTTCGTCGACTCTCATCAACCAATAGGCGGAGGTTTCTTTGGTCCTGCCATAGCAATGTGGAATTGGTACCATTTGACTCAGAGCACCTAATGGACATGCGTACAAAGCCATGCTTTCTATGAGCAGGGAGACGCTTTGACATTTGGCTTTGGCATTCTGTTTATTTCAACAGTCCATAGGATATTATTATATTACCTATTTAAAGTCAAGCTTAGTTAACATTTCACTTGGTGTGTCAAGCTTACCTCGTAGTGCCTACTGGCCTCTTGGTTCGGTGGGCTCTGCAATGAGAGATGTCATGGAAAGCACACGATTATGTGTTGATTTCTACTGCAATGTTCTTTGGAGCAGAAGTGACTTTAAAATAAAATGTTATTAACGCAGTGAGCATTATTCTGAATGTCGTTACAGTGGTGCAATAGTCCACAATGCACAGCAATCCTAGCTTGTCTTGATTAAAACCCCATCTATGCAAAATATTGTAAGCGGCATATGAACTTATCCTGGGCCTCACCTGGTTCAAATCAGACTTAAAAAATAGTTCCTGATTAAACAATTCGGGAGACAAAGGTAGCAGCATTGGCCACTCCATCTTATCGACCTTCGCAGGTGTTCGCATAATTTTTGCTATTAGTCTATGGCAGCTGATTGGAGATTGGTCTATCAAAGTTAAAAGGTCACGCTCCTCTAAAACAGGGGTGGGGAAACTTTTTTCTGCCAAGGGCCATTTGGATATTTATAACATCATTCGCGGGCCATACAAAATTATCAACTTAAAAATTAGCCTGTTATATTTGGTCAAGAATTTAATTAACTCACCCCTAATGTGCTGGGCTGGAACTGCTTCTCTTTGGCGAGGCGTGTGATGTTAGCTGGTATTGATGATATTACTACTCGCAACTACTTTTCTAGGTTTGCTCCTAGATTTATTGAATTTCGAGTCCTGCCTGCGGTTGCCGTGGCAGGGCTAGACTAAATGATTTCGCGGGTCTCATACGGCCCGCGGGCCGGACGTTCCCCACCCCGGCTCTAAAACATACAGAAGTTAACATCGATGCCACTTCTCTGCCATTGATTCTCTCTCGCCGCCAAATATATCAGCCGTTGCGCAGTGAACACTTAACCTGCAAGGTCTGCCCTTACTGCGTATTGGCATCTATCCGGCTTTGGAATCTTCCCCTTGGTTTCTCACCCCCTGCATTGCTCATCAATAAACTGCCCCCTCCATCCTGCACACACGCCCCCACCGATCGCAACCCCCTTGATTGTATAAAACACTTATTTCTCCACAATATAAATTTACAACTTGCTTATCCGATCCTACCGTGAAATTCCCAGTATGTTATGCATGGCACTCAAACTCAAAAGCATGAACACTTGTCACAATGACTAGAGAAACGCATTATAATTAATGAGGTCTTTAGTATGAGACACGGGCTGCAATGAAGCTTTGTTCAATGTGTAACCAGGTAGGATCTAATGGGCATTAGACATTTTTTAATATATCAATATCGATATAACTGCTCGACCCCGAGCTATAAGTATTCTGATACTTGTATTGTCTTTGTACTTTTTGCTTTTGGCGTTTTCTGGTCGAACACTGGTTGTGAGAGAAGGCCACAAAGAAGGCTGTCTCTGGTGTAGGCCAATCAGATTAAAAGATAAGGCTCGTATCATCAGAGCATATTTGTTTGCATGTTTTACCACAAGTTATGTGTGGTTAGTGTAGACTTGATGCCTTGCAGAGGTATCTATTTGGTGTTTGAACATCTTTACACCTCCTGTTTTATTGCCAGGAAGGGTAAACCCTCTTCTAATTTTATCATTTCAGATTGAATTCACCCACCGTTTCAGAAGAATTCATTATTCTCTCATCCAGATGTTGCATGCGGTTCCTAAAAAGAGTGAAGTTTTTTTTTAAATAATGAATTAAAATAGTAAAATCCATGAGTCATTTGAATAGTTATGTAGGAACATCAACTGTACGAGTGGATCATGTTTGTGTCTTCCACAGTGGGGAGGCATACAGTTGATCATCGATTATCCGGCTGCTTCCAACATTATCCGATGGTCCCGGACCGATCCGGCAAGACCGGCAAAATCGCTCCAAAGGCTGTAACCTGTCCAGCAATCAGCACCATGTTCATGACAAAAACAGTAGCTATGCTTGATTCAGTGTCAAATATTGTATACAGTACATTCTACACTGCATACAACTTAAACAGTGAAAATACTGCACGTATTCATGATCAACGTTTTTGGGTTAGATCGCGTTATTTATAAATGTGTCGTAACCCTCCACCACCCGACACGGCCAATCATCAAAAAAGTGTCACGTTGACAAAAGACAAATAGTTCACTACTTTAGCCCACTGGTGTGTTGATTACGACGTTTCGCTGGTAATCGCCATTCTGGCGATTTGCCCGATGATGCTGGATGCAATTACCAGCGAAACGTCGTACTCAAAAACTGCAAATGTTGTGGATTCACTCTTCAACACACCGGTGGGCTAAAGTAGTGAACTATTTGTCTTTTGTCAACGTGACACTTTTTTGCTGATTGGTCGTGTTGGGTGGTGGAGGGTTACGACACATTTATAAATAACGCGATCTAACCCAAAAAACGTTGATTATGAATAATATTGGTCGCAAAAGCCTAAGTGTTATATTGCACGTATACATCATCCCATGCAGAATCTTCGAGATTGGAGTGGTATGTACGGTACACAAAATACGGTAACTTTTTCAGGTTGAATATTTATATTTGTCTATTTGTTTATTCATGCAAATTTCATATCGTAAAACATTTACAACACTAAAAAAACATAGCAACACCTAAAAACATGTCATGCAAGAATGTGCAAAAATAAGATATTTAAAATGAGGATTTAGTGATTATCCGGTGTTTTTTATTTATTATTCGTCGCCCCTCCCCCCGAAACCGCCAGATAATCAATGATCTTCTGTAATTTATTTAGGCAAATAACCCCTGTCAAGTTCTTGACAAACGTTGTTTTGTCATTGTATCACCTGCCATCGCCAACAAAGATTAAAACATTAGTCGAATTGAATGATTATCCAAACACCGTTGAGACATTGTAAATTTCTTTCTACGAAGTCAAGAAAAATCAAGTATGTTTTTTTTGCGTGATATTTGTTAGGTCAGGCTGAAAGACCATAATTTCTCGGTGCACGTGAGAATCGAATTTAGTCACAGGCCTGGTTTCAAACCCTGGATCATCGCAGTGCAAGCTTAATAGTGCTCTGACCTCCAAGCCACTTCGACAAACCTCTCGGTACATTACGTGTCCATATATATTGGTAATTTAAGCCTCCCTGAGTCAATTGGGACACAAATAATTGTGAGAACAACATTTAAATTGAAAACTAATTGTCTAAAATAACTGCTTGTTGTGTTTAACTTGTTGTCCCCACTAACGCACCTCCTATTAGCATGGTTGGCTACGTACGGGGGTCAAAGAAGTTCAACGTACGTCCATTTGGATGAGCTCTCAAAAGTCCAAACCATTGAAAAGCTCCATAATGAGAGGTTTTTGGGTTAGAGCGCATAAATATAAATGTGCCGTTAAACCTGCCACCTCCCGACAACCAATTAGTAAGGTTTGTTACAATGGTTACCATTCGATTACCGTGGCGTTTCACCGGTGATTATGACCGGCATCATCAGGAGACAGCCAGAGTTGTGGAGAAATCCTCCTGCTCTTTTGGTACTTAAATAGAGGGGGGATAAATATGATGTCACTTGCGAGCCAATCAGATGCAAAGATGAGGGGGGTGATAATGTATTCATATAAATTAAAAGGTATCTCTATTATTGGTTGGGTTATTCACAGTTATTTAACGTAATAATGTGCATGCACCTTTAACAGGCTATAAATTACAGTCTACATAAAACTGGCTATCAACCTTTTGCACATACCGATGAGAAGATAATTCTTGAGGCATATTGTAGTATTCAAACGTTTCTGTGCCGCTGCCATAAGGAGCATGATCCAGTTGTAACTCCGTAGTCCGGAGTCGGGATGTCCGGTCGTTGTGCCGCCGCTGCTGCTGCTGTATGAATGGCAAGCGGAGAGAAGTGTGAGCATGAAACCAGTGCAGCTTTTTTAAAAGACATGCTTGGACACATTCTGCAGTGCGCAAATTCAATTGTTTTTTGAGGTGCAGAAGTGTTTCTGGTGTAGAATCGTGTCACTTATGCGTGTCCCTTTCACGGAAACTTACAGTTCCTCGTGGAGCGTTTTGCTGGTAATGTTCACCTTGCCCCGTTCGCCTGCAACAAAGTTTGAATCGTGTGATGTCACCGCCTTGTAGACATAGTTTCCTATTTAATACTGGTAGGAACCTCTTGGTTACACCAGCCCACAGGGGATTATTGTGTCCGTCCGTCGTGCAGGGAGGGGCTGGGTGGGGAGGGAGGGGCTGGGTGGGGAGGGGCTGGGTGGGGAGGGGCTGGGTGGAGAGGGTGGGGCTGGGTGGGGAGGGGCTGGGTGGGGAGGGTGGGGCTGGGTGGGAGGGGTGGGGCTGGGTGGGGAGGGACTGGTCACCCCGTGGTGCCCTTATAAAACTCAACGTTTAACCTACTCACGCCGGCTTGTGCCCGCCCTCACAGTCGGGCATATTTGCGGAATACACCACGCCGCCGTTGACCCTGGCCATTGACCGAGCAACCCAACGTTCCTACCAGCTTTCTCCGCAGGAGGAATGTGTTTACTGTATACATTTTACTTTTATAACTGTCAAGCAATAATAATAATTATCATATAACCAAGTGCATATACTGTATACAGAAAGAGGCGTATGCTTTATCCTATTGCTGTGGAAAATTTTTCGAATCCATACATAGTCGTGGACATGGTCGGCTCTGAGAGATTAAATTCATAAATTTAGTGGGTGATCGGCACTTGGTGCCGATGGGGAGATGGTGCCAGGGTGGCGAGATGTTAACTCCCTCGCCTGGTATGCAGGACGTCGTGGGTTCGATCCCGACCATGACGCCTGCTGTTAATTTGGAGTTTGCGTGTCTCTCTCCCCATGGTCGCGTGGATTGTTCTCTGGGTCCTCTGGTTATTCCCTCCACATTTAGAATCAACATGCGTTTAGAGTTATTTGGCTGCTATAAAATTCCATACGATAAGCCCACTCCATTGAGCTATCATTTGTGATAGCCAGGTCGCTTCTGAAAAAGAGATACAGTGATACCTCGGTTCACGAACGCTTCTGTTTACGAACAACTCGGTTCACGAACAGAAAAGTTCATAAAAATATGCTCCGGTTCACGAACTCCGCTTTGGTTCACGAACAGGAGCTGCGGCCATTTTAATGCTATTTCCAGGCTGTCACATGGTCGTGACTTCCTGTAGGGAGATCGTGGAGAGAAGAAGCGACACAGAAAGAAGTACTGTACTGTACTGTGAAGACACTTTCAGTGACTTTTTGCTTTTTGGTGTGCTTTTTAGCACATACAGTACTGTCTTCTTGGTTCTTTCGGTAAAGTCACGTAGAAGGGAAGTAATAAAATAATAAAAATAAAACATAATAAAACAATTCTCACTGTGAGAGAATTGTTTGTCAGTGAGAATTGTTTTATTATGTTTTATTTTTATTATTTTATTACTTCCCTTCTACGTGACTTTACCGAAAGAACCAAGAAGATGAATCCCTGCAGTCACGAAAGCTTTAAATCGAAATACAGTACTGTACTACTGTACTGTACAATACTGTACTTACTGTATTGTATAGTTCACCCGTTTGAGTGCTTACTGAAGTCATCTCAAGCAAGGTTAGTGTTCTCTCTTTATACATTACTATACTGTACAGTACTAATGTGTATTGTAATTTGTTTCATATTTTTGTGCTTCAAAAACCCAAAAAAAAGGTCAGAATGGATTAACCGGATTTACATTGAACCCTATGGGAAAATGTGCCTCGGTTCACGACCAATTCGGTTCGCGACCAGAGTCAGTTCACGAATTAAGTTCGTGAACCGAGGTATCACTGTATATGGTTCAGTGTTTTTTAAATGACTTCACAGAAGAGTCCTATCGAACAGATTAATGTTGGGTCATCTTTTATATTGTTCCCTTGATATGATTACACGAGTCTATGTGTGGGTTGTATATTGTCTGATGCCTATGCCACGTGTCACTGCGTTGTCAAGTCAAAATCATCATGAGAATATTTATACTGGAGGGAATCCGATTAACTATGAAGCTCTTTTTCACAGATGTACAGTAGGGGCACGGAATAAGAATGTTAAAACAACAAATAGTATAAAAACACGATAGTAGTGCAACGTACAAGAAAGGTGAACAAATCACCCAACACACAAACACAAACAACACTAAACTATCCCCATCCTACCAGGCAAAGCCCACTGAGGTATTAACTTGTTTTTCAGAAGCGACATGACCACCACAAATGATAGCTCAACCAATTTGCCTCATCATTCGGTCATTTATAAGCACCAAAATAATCTAAATATAAGCGCTATCGACGGCTCGCCACATTTTTGCGACATTGTCAACGGGCGAATCCGGGGCGTTTGCGTTTTTTTGCCATCTTCCCGTTCAGGAGAACCACGTGGGGTTGTGGTAATTGAATTCAGATGGGGGTTGCAGTCACATGCGCGCACAAGAAAAAAAGCAATGATAATACATTCTGGAACGAGGAAGTTAATATTTTTACTTAATTGCGAAATTTTGTTTGCCTATAATTCTAATGAATGAGGGTGCAGCTGCTGCTGATGGGATAGCCAATGGGGAATTAGACGGCAGTGGTTATTGGTAAAATCATGAAGCGTATTTAACTGAGAAACAGATTTAGAATGGCGTCACACTGACAGACTGTGCTGAAACTTCTTTCAAGAATTATCAGTCACGTTCCTCCTGAATTGTTTCCGTATCTACAAACATTTTGAAGCTAGGAACTCACGTGACAGGACTCCCTTTCTTGCGGAACCAGAAGCAGTAAACGGCTCCCACCGCGGCCACCAACGCCGTCAGTGGCACTATGGTGGCAACAGCTATGACCCAGGGTTCAACGCCACCATCACCACCATCACAATCACCACCACCTGAAAGACAACAACAACCGGCGTTCATCATCACGGCACTTGTGCCATGTTAAATGCATGGCACCCCTGCTATAGGAATGTGTAAATTCAACCATGGGCTCTGCAGGGCTGTAACTAGGAGATGCCCACCATCTCGCAATGCCCATTTGAGCAGCAGGAGATCACTCGGACTTGGTCATCTCTGGTCTGCTGTGGTGCCTCAGCGCACCGCAGCATCTATCGACGCGAACGAATTGTCTGAGTGTGCGTCTTTCATGCAGACCTGGTCACGTGTCATACTCTTCGGTTTTTTCGGTAAAGTCACGTAGGTAAAAATAAATAATACAAATAAATAATACAAATAATAGAAATAAAATAATTATTTTATAATAGGAAGGTCCATAACGATTGTGAGTGGAGAGGCAGGGACTCTGAAAGCATGAAGAACAACTCAGAGTCCAGGCCTATTCATGGTATCATAGGCCTAGACTATGTCAATAAAGCAGAGATGTAGGTCCTGTTGGAATTCCCTACACCTCTCGTATAGTAGACATATAGAAAATATGGCATCTGTGTTGGACCGCCCTGGCCTGAAACCATATTGGAGCTCTGCAAGCCTCTCCTCAGCGTGCCTGGCAAGGCAACGTGGAATAATCCTTGCCAGGACTCTTCCCGACACACTAGGGATGGAGATTCCTATATAGTTGTTAAAGAGGCAGACCACGAGGGCATCCTTTCAATCCTGCCGAACGCATCCAGTGATCCAGACTGTTATTATCGTGTCATATAGGTCAGTCTACGCACAAACACGACTCTCCCTCAGCAATTCACTTGGGAGATCATGTGTACCCGGTGCTTTTCCTAGTCTCAGACTCTGGATCACTTTCCCTAGTTTCTCAACAAATGGCACTTCAGCCAGCCATTCACAGCAGGTGACTACTTCAAATTTTTGAGACACCGGAGCCTCAGCAGGGTCATCCCCACTTTGTTCCATGGTGTTTTCTGGGCTGAGGGATTTCCCCTCCACCAAGATCTCACAGAAATGCTGAACAAACCTGCAAACCTGATCCTGAGGGTCGCAGATCGGATCACCTTTCTTTTTCCTAAGGATGGTGATAGGTGTGGCGTTGCAAGTTAATTTTTAGATGGAATTAAAGAGTGATTTGTGATCGCGGGCTACAAAGACACATTCCATCTCCTTAGCAGCCCGTGACCACCACTCAACCTTGCAGCACCACAGAGCTCTCAGAACCTCCGAATGAAGGCTGTGGTAAGCCTCCTCATTCTACAACGTGGGATGCTGTAGACGGTTGGAGTGGGTCTGTCGCTCTTTCTCAGCCAGCTGGAGCAATCTCCTCCATCAGCCTAGGTATCTGGGGAGGTTTGGACCAACCACCCAAAACAGCTATTGCAGCTGCACGAGCCACAGTCCTAAACCTCACCCATTTCTCCTCAGCATCAGGAGGAGGGGGGGACGTTGCTAATCCGAGTTGCAACCGATGATGAAATTCTTGCTTTCAACATTCATCAGCTAGCTGAGATCATGCCACTGTTAGTTTGAATGGGGTCCTAGATGGACACCCACCACCGGAGTCGAAGAATGGCAGGCGCATCTTACAGATGACAAGCTTAAATTCTAGATTTGAAGTTTTCGTGACTGCAAGGATTCATACTCTTTGGTTTTTTCGGTAAAGTCACGTAGTTAAAAATAAATTAAAAATAAATGAAAAAACAACTAAATTAAATCACGACGTTTCGGAGGCAACACAAGCTTCCATCTTCAGGTGCAAGGCAGTTAAAGTTTAACTTGGTTAATGACATCCTTCCAATGATTGCTCAATTTGAATCCATCCTCTCGGTTAAAATTATGTCTATGTTTGTATATCTGGATGGCTTTATGGACAAATCTTTGGTAGTATATAGGAGGCTTGCAGAGTACCTTGGTATCGGAGAACACAATGTCATGAGAACCAGCAGTATTATAACAGTGGTCAGCCATGGCCAAATAATTCGTCCTGCCATGTTTCAAATCTGACTTGCTCGCGAATGCGATCAGAAATATGTCGTTTCGTTTGCCCAATATAACAATCCCCACAGGTGCAACTCAGTTTGTAGACACCAAGGTACTGTAAATCAGGAATGACATCCTTTACGGATGGGATCAGATCACGGATCTTGTGTACTGTACTGAATCGGACCTGAATCTTGTGTTTGTTCAGAATTTTGGAAATCTTTTTGGTGACGCCTGCTATGTATGGCAATGTAATGATTTTGATCGGAGTCTCAAGGGGTTGTTTCTCCACGTTGGGAGAAACAGCTTGGCGGATAGCACGGTCCGAGTATCCGTTCATCTTGAGGGCCAGATGTACATGTTCCAATTCACTGGCCAGGTGGTGTGTGTCAGAGATGCAGTGGGCCCTTTGGTATAGTGTTTTGATGAGGGGATTATTTTGTGCCGGATGATGTTGGGAATCAGGCTTCAGGTAAGAATTTATGTGGGTGGCCTTCCTATAGACAGAATGTCCAAAATAGCCATTGGGCCTCCTCTCAAACAGAACATCCAGGAATGGTAGCTTGCCATCCTTCTCCACTTCCATGGTGAATTTGATGGATGGGTGTATGGAGTTGATGTGGTCTAGAAATTGGTTAAATGCTGGGAGGCCATGTGGCCAAATGACGAAAGTATCATCCACGTATCTCTTCCACAGGGAAGGACGCAGAGTGGATGTCTGGATGGCGTCTGTTTCTCCATGAAAACATTAGCTATCACTGGTGATAAGGGGGAACCCATAGGGGTGCCCTAATTTTGTTTGTAGAAGGTACCATTCCAGGTGAAGTACGTGTTGGTGAGGCAGTGCCTAACCAGTGCAGGGACATCAGGGTTCAGTCCATGTTGGACTAAGTCTTCAATTATTGTTATGGTGTCAGGCACTGGATCCTTGGTGAACAGAGAGACCACATCAAAGCTGACGAAGACATCATCAGTAGACAGTACAATGTCCTTGATTAGAGAGACCAAGTGAATTGAGTTAAGTACTGCTGAGGTGGTCTTGCCAGTGAAGGTAAGCAGAGTATCCAACAGAAAACGGGCCAGTTTGTAGGTAGGTGAGTTGATTGTGGACACGATGGGCCGTAGTGGGGTACCTTCTTTATGGATCTTGGGAAGCCCATAGAATCTGGGAGGTCTCGCAGCCGAGGGTTTCAGGGAGAGACGTTTGATTGGTTCGATTAGGGAAGTCGAACTAGTGATGATCTTGTTGGTTTTAGTAGTTAGGCTATTAGTCGGATCTCTATTGATTTTGGAGTAGCTGCCATCATTGAGTAGGTCCTGGATTTTGTTGTTGTATGAGTTTTTATCCATGATGACAGTGGCATTGCCCTTGTCGGCCGAGAGGATGACTATGTCATCCCTCTTTTTCAAATTTGCGAGTTCAGAACGTTCGTTTTTACTGATGTTGCTAACGGGTTTCTTAGCATTCTTGAGGATAGTGGCTATTTCAGCTTCCGTAACGTCCATTTGGATGTGTCCTAAGCATTTGAGGGCTACATCGACATGGGAGATTATATCCTCTACTGGTATATGTTTAAGGGTAACTACGAAATTCACCCTTTAGCTAGTATCGTTTTTAGATTGTCAGAGATCGGGATGTTACTCTGATTGATAACGATCTTGTTAACATCTAGCTTTGTAATGCGTAGCTCTGGTTTCTTCTTTGCTAAGAGGTTGAATTTAGCAATCAGGTTAGCTTTACATTTGGTTGACAGAGAATCAGCAGAGGAGCCTGTCATGTTGTCAACATGGTCCCAATCGGAAGGGGACATTTTTTGTGTTAACATTAAATGTGATTGTAAGAGAATCTTGTCTAGATTATCGAGTTCAAATCTGAGTAATCTTATTGTCTCTAAGATTAGTGATAGGCAGCTTTAAACAGAATCCGTTTAGCGTTCGGTGAAGACACAGCAGCAGATGTAAGTGTGAAAGCGATGGGTATTACCTTGTTATCGCGGCATCTCTTGAGGAAGGTTAGCGTCTCGATAAGCTGTGAATTCTTGTCTCGTCTGTTAAAAACTCTACCAGAAAAGTGGAAATCCTCCCCGTAGAGGGCATTAATTCTAGATTTGAAGTTTTCGTGACTGCAAGGATTCATACTCTTTGGTTGTTTCGGTAAAGTCACGTACTGTAGTTAAAAATAAAATTAAAATAAATGAAAAAAACAACTAAATTAAATCACGACGTTTCGGAGGCAACACAAGCTTCCGTCTTCAGGTGGAACCGTCACAGAAAAATTACTGTATCAAGTGAAGAGAGCTCTAAGAGACACGAGATTATATATAGATTCAGAGGTGGGGGAGAGGAGCCAGGATAGGACGCGGGGGGGGGGGGGGATAAGCTGGTGACATATTTTTTTATGATGCAGGAGATGGCCAGTAAGTTAAAACGGGGGCGGAATTTAAGCTGGACAAAATAGATGATAAGTTAAGCCGCCTTTTGTTATGCTGCAGGGGATTAGGAGGATTAGGAGGAGGTTAACTGGTTAAGGGAGGAGGTTAAGCTGGGGGAGGAGGAGGGGAGTAGGAGTACGGATGGCCCGAGGGCAAGCCGTGTGGAGTCGGGGGAGGAAAGTTAAGCTAATAAACTGGTTGCCTTGCAGTATACTGCAGTAAACAACAAGGTTGCTGTAGCGTAGAGTATAGTGTTGTAGTGTATTGTGGAGTGTATAATAGTGTAATCTATAGTAGTCTATATATTGTATAGTGCAGTGTAGAGATACACAAACATAGACTTAGCTTAAACCGAGAGGATGGATTCAAATTGAGGAATCATTGGAAGGATGTTATTAACCAAAACCTAAACTCCTCCCCCAGCTTAACCTCCTCCCCTAACCTCCTAATCTTCCTAATTCCCTGAAGCATAACAAAAGGCGGCTTAACTTAGCTTCCCTTTTGTTCAGCTTAAATTCCGCCCCCGTTTTAACTCACTGGCCATCTCCTGCATTATAAAAAATGATGTCCCCAGCTTATCCCCCCCTCCGCGGCCTATCCTGGCTCCCCCCCCCCCCCCCTCTTAACCAATATATAATCTCGTGTCTCTCAGAGCTCTCTTCACTTGATATAGTAATTTTGCTGTGACGGTTCCACCTGAAGACGGAAGCTTGTGTTGCCTCCGAAACGTCGTGATTTAATTTAGTTGTTTTTTCATTTATTTGTATTTTATTTTTTAACTACGTGACTTTACCGAAAAAACCAAAGAGTATAGATAACAAGCTGATGGTCAGTGGGCAGATCAACTCCACGGTAGGTCCTGGTGTGAAGGACATGGGACCACATCCCCTGTTCCGTGACTATGTAGTCCAGCAGATGTTCTTTCTTGCATCTGGCGTAGATCCATGATGTGTTGTGGAAGCGTGGATGCCAGAACAGCATTAGTAATTACAAGCCCATGGGCTGCACAGAAATCTAGCAGTCTTCTACCCTTGTTACTGAGCTGATATGGCCCATGCTTTCCAATCACTCCAGCCCAAGGGCCAACGTCATGACCCACTCAGACATTAAGGTAACCAAACAGAGATTGTCTTATAGATTCACCCCTGCTATAGGAATGTGTAATTTCGACCACTGGCTCTCCAAGGCTGTAACTAGGAAATGCACATCGCCTCTCAATGCTAATTTGAGCAGAAGGAGATCGCTTTGACTTGGTAATCTCTGGTCTGCCTCAGTGCACCGCAGCATCTCATGACGTGACTGAATTGTCTCAGTGTGCATCTTCATACAGACCTGGTGATGTGTCGTCTCGTCGCAGTCTCTGGTGGTCATTCACGCTCAATGGATATTCAAGCTATCTCCGACGAAAATAAAATGAACCACTTCATTGATAAATAATTGTATTAGCCTCATTAAGGAAATGAACACTGCTTATTTATTAAACTCACCGAGCACGATGAGGTTGATCTTCACCTCCTTATTCCCTGACGTCGTCATGAATCTGCAGATGTAGGTACCGCTGTCGGAGGTGCTCAGATTACTGATTGTGATGGAGGCATCTTTAATTCCGTATCGAACGAAAGTCAGTCGCCATGAGAACTCACTATCAAAGTGAAAACTAGTATGATCATTCTGGCGAGTTGCTAAGTTCATAAGCCCTTGGTTTGTTTCCTTTGCCCATAATATCTGGGAGACGTTCGCACTTCCCTTGTAGACGCAGCCCAGTCTAACGTCTCCTCCACCCCGACCGGATGCTTCACTGTTATGGTCGATCTCCGATTTAATATTCTGGACACCTGTATCGGCAAAGAGACAAAGACAGAGATCCAGCGCGTAGACTTAGTGAATTGTTTTGGTTAAGTGTTGTGAGTGAGCGAGCGCCTACGAAGGGCAGCATGGCGCATTAGGAGAGTGGTATGGTCATTCCAGATTGCTGACTTGAAAACCAAGGCTTAAAGATTGACTACTGCCCTCACACATCCATTATACATTCCTTGTAAGAAATTCAGAGATGCTCAAACCAAAGAATTGAACCCAGAACCTCATCTGTGCTGACTCAGTGTATCTACCATGGCCATTATTAACCCCTTACAAAGGGATGGGGTGGTAGTGGTATCGTGGTTAGTATGCTGTGCTATAAATCCAGCAACCTGAGTTCAATTCCAAACCAGTCCTTGGATCCCGACAACTCCCATTCCTCAATCTGCAGCAAACCAAACCCACCTAGTTACCCCTCCACCCCTCACCATCTCACCTACAACAACCGCCATTCGCCACTAAGTGGCAGGGACATCACCACGACGCTTGTGCCAGGCCATGTGCACCTTGAGGCCACGTGAAGTGTCAAACGCCCGCTGGCAGGAGGTCACTGGGCAGACCCAGGTGCCACGGGTCGACTGACTGAGATGACCGAGATGACTGGCTAATGCACCACTTGTGCCCCCTACTGTGCCAACTTGCTGTGCTTTAGCCACCCGGCGCTCTGCTCGTTGTTGTGAGCGTCGCTCCTCCGCCCTCCGTTGTTGTTGGAGGGCGACTGCCTCGAACTGCCCAGTAGCGTCTTTCACGAGCCTCCTCCACAGAGGCCGGTCTTGACACCGCTGGTACCAGTCATCGGCAAGTCCACTTACTGTAGCTCCACGTCATCCTGTACCACATCACTCCATCTCTTCTCTAGCTGGTACTGCGCCCGTTTAGACCCTCGATCCGGTCGAACAAAAGCTCTTTAGGCATGCGGTGGCTTGGCATGCGGGCTACATGACCCAGCCAACGCAGCCTTGCCTGCCGGAGGAGCTCACCGATGGGACTTTGCCCAGATCTTTCAATGATTTGTGAGCTCCTCACACAATCCAGCCTGGTTAAACCCAGGATGGATCGTAGGCAGGCCAGCCTAAATGTTTCTAACCGGCAAAGATGCTCCATTAGGGGGGTCCACGTTTTGCAAGCGTAGAGACGGGAGGAAATCACTGTGGCCGAGAAGACGTGAAGCTTCGTGCAGAGCGACAGACCAGTTAGCTTCCACACAGCATTACGCAACCAATGAAAGATATTGCCGCTCGACTGATTCGGAGTGAGACCTCTGCTGTTAAACAGGAGCCGGTCATAAGCACACTGACCAGGTATGGGAAACTCTCCACTCTATCCACAACTGCCCCATCACCGATTGGGAGTTGTGGGGGTGGAGTATCCGATGGTACAAAATACCCAGGCAGGTGCTTAGTTTTGGTGCAGCTGATGGTTAGGCCCCACCTCTTAGTGGCACGCACCAGTCTCAGCAGCAGCAGCGTCTCCAACTCCTCCTCTGAATGACCAGCTATTACCAAATTATCGGCATACATAACGTGGTTGACTAATAGGGAGCCATCCCTTGATCGTACCCGGGCATCGAACAGCCTCCCATTTTATCTGTACCAAGTGGAAATTCCCCCGGTACAGCTATTGAAGGCTTCACGAACTACGAGGTCAAAATAGATGTTCAATAATGTGGGAGCCAGAGGACATCCCTGTCGCACTCCAAGGTGTACAGGGAATGGCTCTGACTCCCGGCCACGTAGTTTTACCCGGGCCCGCTCACCATCATGAAGGTCCTTAATGATCGTGAGCAGCGGGTCAGGGACTCCGAAAGCATGAAGAACAACTCAGAGCCCAGGCCTACTGATGGTATCATAGGCCTTGACCAGGTCAATAAAGCAGAGATGTAGGTCTTGTTGGGATTCCCTACACCTCTGCTGTAGCAGGCGGACAGAAAATATGGCATCTGTGCAAGAACGCCCTTTTCTGAAACTGCATCGGGGCTCCGCAAGCCTCTCCTCAGCGTGCCTAGCAAGGCGATGTTGAATAATCCTTGCCAGGACCTTTCCCGGCACACTGAGGAGTGAGATGCCCCTGTAGTTATTATAGTCTGTGAGGTCCCCCTTCTTCCAGAGGGGGGCCACCAGGGCATCCTTCCAATCCTGCGGAACCCGTCCAGTCGGCCAGACTGTTGTTATGATGTCATATAGGGCAGTCTGTGCACAAACGCCACCCTCCCTCAGCATTTCGCTTGGGAGATCATCTCTGCCCGGTGCCTTTCCCGGTCTCAGACTCTGGATCGCCTTCAGTACTTCCTCAACAGATGGCACCTCAGCCAGCCACTCACAGGGGGTGACTTCTTCCAATATTTGAGGCACCGCAGCCTTAGCAGGGTCATACCCACTTTGTGCCGTGATGTTTTCCTGGCTGAGGAATTTCCCATCCCCCATGACCTCACAGAAATGCTCAGCAAATCTGCAAACCTGTTCCTGGGGTGTCGGAGATTGGATCACCGTTTTTCCCCTAATTATGGTAATAGGTGTGGCGCTGCAGGTTACTTTTTTGATGGAGTTAAATAGTGGTTTGTGATCGCGGGCCACTGAAGCAGACTCCATCTCCTCAGCAACCCGCGACCACCACCCATCCTTGCAGCGCCTTACGGCTTTCCGAACCTCCGAGCGAAGGCTGCGGTAAGCCTCCTTTTTCTCTGACATGGGATGCTGTAGCCGATGAGAGTGGGCCTGTCGCTTTTTCTCAACTATCCTGAACACCTCGTATGTCAGCCAGGGTCTCTGGGGAGGTCTGGACCGCGTACCCAAAGCAGCCATTGCAGCTGCATGAGTCACAGTCCTATACCTCGCCCATTTACCCTCGAAATCAGGAGCAGTGGGGGACGATGCCAACCCCACCGCAAGCGATGATGAAATTCTTGCTTGCAACTTTCATCAGCTAACTGAGACCAGGCCACTTTAGGTTGGAATGGGGTCCTGGGTGTACACCCACCACCGGAGTGGAAGTATGGCAGCCGCATCTTACAGATGACTCGTCAATGGTCAGAGAGCAGATCAGTTCCACGGTAGGTCCTGGTGTCAAGGACATGGGCTCGCATCTGCTGGTCCGTCACTATGTAGTCCAGCAGATGTTCTTTCTTGCATCTGGCGTAGATCCATGATGTGTTGTGGAAGCGTGAATTAGTAATTAGTAATTACAAGCCCATGGGCTGCACAGAAATCTAGCAGCCTTCTACCATTGTTACTGAGCTGATATGGCCCATGCTTTCCAATCACTCCAGCCCAAGGGCCAGCGTCATGACCCACTCAGACATTAAAGTAACCAAACAGAGATTAAATTTCGATTTAAAGCTTTCGTGACTGCAGGGATTCATCTTCTTGGTTCTTTCGGTAAAGTCACGTAGAAGGGAAATAATAAAATAATAAAAATAAAACATAATAAAATACAATTCTCACGACGTTTCGGCCACAACACAAGCAGCCGTCCTCACGTGACTTTACCGAAAGAACCAAGAAGACAAACAGAGATTGTCCTATAGATTCACCCCTGCAATAGGAATCTGTCATTTTGACCACTGGCTCTCAAAGGCTGTAACTAGGAAATGCGCATCACCTCTCAATGCTCATTTGAGCAGAAGGAGATCGCTTTGACTTGGTAATCTCTGGTCTGCCTCAGTGCTCCGCAGCATCTCATGACGTGACTGAATTGTCTCAGTGTGCATCTTCATACAGACCTGGTCATGTGTCGTCTCGTCGCAGTCTCTGGTGGTCATTCACGCTCAATGGATATTCAAGCTATCTCCGACAAAAATAAAATAAACCACTTCATTGATGAATAATTGTATTAGCCTCATTAAGGAAATTAACACCGCTTATTTATTAAACTCACCGCGCACGATGAGGTTGATCTTCACCTCCTTATTCCCCGACGTCGTCATGAATCTGCAGATGTAGGTACCGCTGTCGGAGGTGCTCAGATTATTGATTGTGATGGAGCCATCTTTAATTCCGTAGCCAACGAAAGTCACACGCTGTTTGAACTCACCATCAAAGACAAAACTAGTATTATCATTCTGGCGAGTTGCTACGTTCACAAGCATTTGGTTTGTTTCCTTTGCCCATAATATCTGGGAGACGGTCGAACTTCCCTTGTAGATGCAGCGCAGTCTAACGTCTCCTCCTACCCGACCGGATGCATCACTGTAATAGTCGATCTCCGATTTAATATTCTGGACACCTGTATCGGCAAAGAGACAAAGACAGAGATCCAGCGCGTAGACTTAGTGAATTGTTTGGTTAAGTGTTGTGAGTCAGCGAGCGCCTACGAAGGGCAGCATGGCGCATTAGGAGAGTGGTGTGGTCATTCCTGATTGCTGGCTTGAAAACCAAGGCTTAAATATTGATTACTTCCCTCACACAGCCATTATACATTCCTTGTAAGAAATTCAGAGATGCTCAAACCAAAGAATTGAACCCAGAACCTCATCTGTGCTGACTCAGTGTATCTACCATGGCCATTATTAACCCCTTACAAAGGGATGGGGTGGTAGTGGCATCGTGGTTAGTATGCTGTGCTATAAATCCAGCAACCTGAGTTCAATTCCAAACCAGTCCTTGAATCCCGACAACTCCCATTCCTCAATCTGCAGCAAACCAAACCCACCTAGTTACCCCTCCACCCCTCACCATCTCACCTACAACAACCGCCATTCGCCACTAAGTGGCGGTGACATCACCACGACGCTTGTGCCAGGCCATGTGCACCTTGAGGCCACGTGAAGTGTCAAACGCCCACTGGCAGGAGGTCACTGGGCAGACCCAGGTGCCACGGGTCGACTGACTGAGATGACCGAGATGACTGGCTAATGCACCACCTGTGCCCCCTACTGTGCCAACTTGCTGTGCTTTAGCCACCCGGCGCTCTGCTCGTTGTTGTGAGCGTCGCTCCTCCGCCCTCCGTTGTTGTTGGAGGGCGACTGCCTCGAATTGCCCAGTAGCGTCTTTCACGAGCCTCCTCCACAGAGGCCGGTCTTGACACCGCTGGTACCAGTCATCGGCAAGTCCACTTACTGTAGCTCCACGTCCTCCTGTACCACATCACTCCATCTCTTCTCTAGCTGGTACTGCGCCCGTTTATCCCCCTCGATCCGGTCGAACAAAAGCTCTTTAGGCATGCGGTGGCTGGGCATTCGGGCTACATGACCCAGCCAACGCAGCCTTGCCTGCCGGAGGAGCTCACCGATGGGACTTTGCCCAGATCTTTCAATGATTTGTGAGCTCCTCACACAATCCAGCCTGGTTAAACCCAGGATGGATCGTAGGCAGGCCAGCCTAAATGTTTCTAACCGGCGAAGATGCTCCATTAGGGGGGTCCACGTTTCGCAAGCGTAGAGTCGGGAGGAAATGACTGTGGCCGAGAAGATGTGAAGCTTCGTGCGGAGCGACAGACCAGCTAGCTTCCACACAGCATTACGCAACCAATGAAAGATATTGCCGCTCGACTGATTCGGAGTGAGTCCTCTGCTGTTAAACAGGAGCCGGTCATAAGCACACTGACCAGGTATGGGAAACTCTCCACTCTATCCACAACTGCCCCATCACCGATTGGGAGTTGTGGGGGTGGAGTATCCGATGGTACAAAATACCCAGGCAGGTGCTTAGTTTTGGTGCAGCTGATGGTTAGACCCCACCTCTTAGTGGCACGCACCAGTCTCAGCAGCAGCAGCGTCTCCAACTCCTCCTCTGAATGAGCAGCTATTACCAAATTATCAGCATACATAACGTGGTTGACTAATAGGGAGCCATCCCTTGATCGTACCCGGGCATCGAACAGCCTCCCATTTTATCTGTACCAAGTGGAAATTCCCCCGGTACAGCTATTGAAGGCTTCACGAACTACGAGGTCAAAATAGATGTTCAATAATGTGGGAGCCAGAGGACATCCCTGTCGCACTCCAAGGTGTACAGGGAATGGCTCTGACTCCCGGCCACGTAGTTTTACCCGGGCCCGCTCACCATCATGAAGGTCCATAATGATCGTGAGCAGAGGGTCAGGGACTCCGAAAGCATGAAGAACAACCCAGAGCCCAGGCCTACTGATGGTATCATAGGCATTGACCAGGTCAATAAAGCAGAGATGTAGGTCTTGTTGGGATTCCCTACACCTCTGCTGTAGCAGGCGGACAGAAAATATGGCATCTGTGCAAGAACGCCCTTTCCTGAAACTGCATTGGGGCTCCGCAAGCCTCTCCTCAGCGTGCCTAGCAAGGCGATGTTGAATAATCCTTGCCAGGACCTTTCCTGGCACACTGAGGAGTGAGATGCCCCTGTAGTTATTATAGTCTGTGAGGTCCCCCTTCTTCAAGAGGGGGGCCACCAGGGCATCCTTCCAATCCTGCGGAACCCGTCCAGTCGTCCAGACTGTTGTTATGATGTCATATAGGGCAGTCTGTGCACAAACGCCACCCTCCCTCAGCATTTCGCTTGGGAGATCATCTCTGCCCGATGCCTTTCCCGGTCTCAGACTCTGGATCGCCTTCAGTACTTCCTCAACAGATGGCACCTCAGCCAGCCACTCACAGGGGGTGACTTCTTCCAATATTTGAGGCACCGCAGCCTTAGCAGGGTCATACCCACTTTGTGCCGTGATGTTTTCCTGGCTGAGGAATTTCCCCTCCCCCATGACCTCACAGAAATGCTCAGCAAATCTGCAAACCTGTTCCTGGGGGTCGGAGATTGGATCACCGTTTTTCCCCTAATTATGGTAATAGGTGTGGCGCTGCAGGTTACTTTTTTGATGGAGTTAAATAGTGGTTTGTGATCGCGGGCCACTGAGGCAGACTCCATCTCCTCAGCAACCCGCGACCACCACCCATCCTTGCAGCGCCTTACGGCTCTCAGAACCTCTGAGCGAAGGCTGCGGTAAGCCTCCTTATTCTCTGACATGGGATGCTGTAGCCGATGAGAGTGGGCCTGTCGCTTTTTCTCAACTATCCTGAACACCTCGTATGTCAGCCAGGGTCTCTGGGGAGGTCTGGACCGCGTACCCAAAGCAGCCATTGCAGCTGCATTTGTCACAGTCCTATACCTCGCCCATTTACCCTCGAAATCAGGAGCAGTGGGGGACGATGCCAACCCCACCGCAAGCGATGATGAAATTCTTGCTTGCAACTTTCATCAGCTAACTGAGACCAGGCCACTTTAGGTTGGAATGGGGTCCTGGGTGTACACCCACCACCGGAGTGGAAGAATGGCAGCCGCATCTTACAGATGACTAGTCGATGGTCAGAGAGCAGATCAGTTCCACGGTAGGTCCTGGTGTCAAGGACATGGGCTCGCATCTGCTGGTCCGTCACTATGTAGTCTAGCAGATGTTCTTTCTTGCATCTGGCGTAGATCCATGATGTGTTGTGGAAGCGTGGATTAGTAATTAGTAATTACAAGCCCATGGGCTGCACAGAAATCTAGCAGCCTTCTACCATTGTTACTGAGCTGATATGGCCCATGCTTTCCAATCACTCCAGCCCAAGGGCCAGCGTCATGACCCACTCAGACATTAAAGTAACCAAACAGAGATTAAATTTCGATTTAAAGCTTTCGTGACTGCAGGGATTCATCTTCTTGGTTCTTTCGGTAAAGTCACGTAGAAGGGAAATAATAAAATAATGAAAATAAAACATAATAAAATACAATTCTCACGACGTTTCGGCCACAACACAAGCAGCCGTCCTCACGTGACTTTACCGAAAGAACCAAGAAGACAAACAGAGATTGTCCTATAGATTCACCCCTGCAATAGGAATCTGTCATTTTGACCACTGGCTCTCAAAGGCTGTAACTAGGAAATGCGCATCACCTCTCAATGCTCATTTGAGCAGAAGGAGATCGCTTTGACTTGGTAATCTCTGGTCTGCCTCAGTGCTCCGCAGCATCTCATGACGTGACTGAATTGTCTCAGTGTGCATCTTCATACAGACCTGGTCATGTGTCGTCTCGTCGCAGTCTCTGGTGGTCATTCACGCTCAATGGATATTCAAGCTATCTCCGACGAAAATAAAATAAACCACTTCATTGATGAATAATTGTATTAGCCTCATTAAAGAAATGAACACCGCTTATTTATTAAACTCACCGCGCACGATGAGGTTGATCTTCACCTCCTTATTCCCTGACGTCGTCATGAATCTGCAGATGTAGGTACCGCTGTCGGAGGTGCTCAGATTATTGATTGTGATGGAGCCATCTCTAATTCCGTAGCCAACGAAAGTCACACGCTGTTTGAACTCACCATCAAAGACAAAACTAGTATTATCATTCTGGCGAGTTGCTACGTTCACAAGCATTTGGTTTGTTTCCTTTGCCCATAATATCTGGGAGACGGTCGAACTTCCCTTGTAGATGCAGCGCAGTCTAACGTCTCCTCCTACCCGACCGGATGCATCACTGTAATAGTCGATCTCCGATTTAATATTCTGGACACCTGTATCGGCAAAGAGACAAAGACAGAGATCCAGCGCGTAGACTTAGTGAATTGTTTGGTTAAGTGTTGTGAGTCAGCGAGCGCCTACGAAGGGCAGCATGGCGCATTAGGAGAGTGGTGTGGTCATTCCTGATTGCTGGCTTGAAAACCAAGGCTTAAATATTGATTACTTCCCTCACACAGCCATTATACATTCCTTGTAAGAAATTCAGAGATGCTCAAACCAAAGAATTGAACCCAGAACCTCATCTGTGCTGACTCAGTGTATCTACCATGGCCATTATTAACCCCTTACAAAGGGATGGGGTGGTAGTGGCATCGTGGTTAGTATGCTGTGCTATAAATCCAGCAACCTGAGTTCAATTCCAAACCAGTCCTTGAATCCCGACAACTCCCATTCCTCAATCTGCAGCAAACCAAACCCACCTAGTTACCCCTCCACCCCTCACCATCTCACCTACAACAACCGCCATTCGCCACTAAGTGGCGGTGACATCACCACGACGCTTGTGCCAGGCCATGTGCACCTTGAGGCCACGTGAAGTGTCAAACGCCCACTGGCAGGAGGTCACTGGGCAGACCCAGGTGCCACGGGTCGACTGACTGAGATGACCGAGATGACTGGCTAATGCACCACCTGTGCCCCCTACTGTGCCAACTTGCTGTGCTTTAGCCACCCGGCGCTCTGCTCGTTGTTGTGAGCGTCGCTCCTCCGCCCTCCGTTGTTGTTGGAGGGCGACTGCCTCGAATTGCCCAGTAGCGTCTTTCACGAGCCTCCTCCACAGAGGCCGGTCTTGACACCGCTGGTACCAGTCATCGGCAAGTCCACTTACTGTAGCTCCACGTCCTCCTGTACCACATCACTCCATCTCTTCTCTAGCTGGTACTGCGCCCGTTTATCCCCCTCGATCCGGTCGAACAAAAGCTCTTTAGGCATGCGGTGGCTGGGCATTCGGGCTACATGACCCAGCCAACGCAGCCTTGCCTGCCGGAGGAGCTCACCGATGGGACTTTGCCCAGATCTTTCAATGATTTGTGAGCTCCTCACACAATCCAGCCTGGTTAAACCCAGGATGGATCGTAGGCAGGCCAGCCTAAATGTTTCTAACCGGCGAAGATGCTCCATTAGGGGGGTCCACGTTTCGCAAGCGTAGAGTCGGGAGGAAATGACTGTGGCCGAGAAGATGTGAAGCTTCGTGCGGAGCGACAGACCAGCTAGCTTCCACACAGCATTACGCAACCAATGAAAGATATTGCCGCTCGACTGATTCGGAGTGAGTCCTCTGCTGTTAAACAGGAGCCGGTCATAAGCACACTGACCAGGTATGGGAAACTCTCCACTCTATCCACAACTGCCCCATCACCGATTGGGAGTTGTGGGGGTGGAGTATCCGATGGTACAAAATACCCAGGCAGGTGCTTAGTTTTGGTGCAGCTGATGGTTAGACCCCACCTCTTAGTGGCACGCACCAGTCTCAGCAGCAGCAGCGTCTCCAACTCCTCCTCTGAATGAGCAGCTATTACCAAATTATCAGCATACATAACGTGGTTGACTAATAGGGAGCCATCCCTTGATCGTACCCGGGCATCGAACAGCCTCCCATTTTATCTGTACCAAGTGGAAATTCCCCCGGTACAGCTATTGAAGGCTTCACGAACTACGAGGTCAAAATAGATGTTCAATAATGTGGGAGCCAGAGGACATCCCTGTCGCACTCCAAGGTGTACAGGGAATGGCTCTGACTCCCGGCCACGTAGTTTTACCCGGGCCCGCTCACCATCATGAAGGTCCATAATGATCGTGAGCAGAGGGTCAGGGACTCCGAAAGCATGAAGAACAACCCAGAGCCCAGGCCTACTGATGGTATCATAGGCCTTGACCAGGTCAATAAAGCAGAGATGTAGGTCTTGTTGGGATTCCCTACACCTCTGCTGTAGCAGGCGGACAGAAAATATGGCATCTGTGCAAGAACGCCCTTTCCTGAAACTGCATTGGGGCTCCGCAAGCCTCTCCTCAGCGTGCCTAGCAAGGCGATGTTGAATAATCCTTGCCAGGACCTTTCCTGGCACACTGAGGAGTGAGATGCCCCTGTAGTTATTATAGTCTGTGAGGTCCCCCTTCTTCAAGAGGGGGGCCACCAGGGCATCCTTCCAATCCTGCGGAACCCGTCCAGTCGTCCAGACTGTTGTTATGATGTCATATAGGGCAGTCTGTGCACAAACGCCACCCTCCCTCAGCATTTCGCTTGGGAGATCATCTCTGCCCGATGCCTTTCCCGGTCTCAGACTCTGGATCGCCTTCAGTACTTCCTCAACAGATGGCACCTCAGCCAGCCACTCACAGGGGGTGACTTCTTCCAATATTTGAGGCACCGCAGCCTTAGCAGGGTCATACCCACTTTGTGCCGTGATGTTTTCCTGGCTGAGGAATTTCCCCTCCCCCATGACCTCACAGAAATGCTCAGCAAATCTGCAAACCTGTTCCTGGGGGTCGGAGATTGGATCACCGTTTTTCCCCTAATTATGGTAATAGGTGTGGCGCTGCAGGTTACTTTTTTGATGGAGTTAAATAGTGGTTTGTGATCGCGGGCCACTGAGGCAGACTCCATCTCCTCAGCAACCCGCGACCACCACCCATCCTTGCAGCGCCTTACGGCTCTCAGAACCTCTGAGCGAAGGCTGCGGTAAGCCTCCTTATTCTCTGACATGGGATGCTGTAGCCGATGAGAGTGGGCCTGTCGCTTTTTCTCAACTATCCTGAACACCTCGTATGTCAGCCAGGGTCTCTGGGGAGGTCTGGACCGCGTACCCAAAGCAGCCATTGCAGCTGCATTTGTCACAGTCCTATACCTCGCCCATTTACCCTCGAAATCAGGAGCAGTGGGGGACGATGCCAACCCCACCGCAAGCGATGATGAAATTCTTGCTTGCAACTTTCATCAGCTAACTGAGACCAGGCCACTTTAGGTTGGAATGGGGTCCTGGGTGTACACCCACCACCGGAGTGGAAGAATGGCAGCCGCATCTTACAGATGACTAGTCGATGGTCAGAGAGCAGATCAGTTCCACGGTAGGTCCTGGTGTCAAGGACATGGGCTCGCATCTGCTGGTCCGTCACTATGTAGTCTAGCAGATGTTCTTTCTTGCATCTGGCGTAGATCCATGATGTGTTGTGGAAGCGTGGATTAGTAATTAGTAATTACAAGCCCATGGGCTGCACAGAAATCTAGCAGCCTTCTACCATTGTTACTGAGCTGATATGGCCCATGCTTTCCAATCACTCCAGCCCAAGGGCCAGCGTCATGACCCACTCAGACATTAAAGTAACCAAACAGAGATTAAATTTCGATTTAAAGCTTTCGTGACTGCAGGGATTCATCTTCTTGGTTCTTTCGGTAAAGTCACGTAGAAGGGAAATAATAAAATAATGAAAATAAAACATAATAAAATACAATTCTCACGACGTTTCGGCCACAACACAAGCAGCCGTCCTCACGTGACTTTACCGAAAGAACCAAGAAGACAAACAGAGATTGTCCTATAGATTCACCCCTGCAATAGGAATCTGTCATTTTGACCACTGGCTCTCAAAGGCTGTAACTAGGAAATGCGCATCACCTCTCAATGCTCATTTGAGCAGAAGGAGATCGCTTTGACTTGGTAATCTCTGGTCTGCCTCAGTGCTCCGCAGCATCTCATGACGTGACTGAATTGTCTCAGTGTGCATCTTCATACAGACCTGGTCATGTGTCGTCTCGTCGCAGTCTCTGGTGGTCATTCACGCTCAATGGATATTCAAGCTATCTCCGACGAAAATAAAATAAACCACTTCATTGATGAATAATTGTATTAGCCTCATTAAGGAAATGAACACCGCTTATTTATTAAACTCACCGCGCACGATGAGGTTGATCTTCACCTCCTTATTCCCTGACGTCGTCATGAATCTGCAGATGTAGGTACCGCTGTCGGAGGTGCTCAGATTATTGATTGTGATGGAGCCATCTCTAATTCCGTAGCCAACGAAAGTCACACGCTGTTTGAACTCACCATCAAAGACAAAACTAGTATTATCATTCTGGCGAGTTGCTACATTCACAAGCATTTGGTTTGTTTCCTTTGCCCATAATATCTGGGAGACGGTCGAACTTCCCTTGTAGATGCAGCGCAGTCTAACGTCTCCTCCTACCCGACCGGATGCATCACTGTAATAGTTGATCTCCGATTTAATAATCTGGACACCTGTATCGGCAAAGAGAGAAAGACAGAGATCCCCCTCATAGACTTAGTGGACTGTTTTGGGTAAGTGTTGTGAGTGAGCGAGCGCCTACAACGGGCAGCATGGCACATGAGGAGAGTGGTGTGGTCATTCCGGATTGCTGACTTGAAAACTAAGGCTTAAAGATTGATTACTGCCCTCACCCAGCCATTATACATTCCTTGTAAGAAATTCAGAGATGCTCGGACCAAAGAATTTAACCCAGAACCTCAGTTGTGCTGACTCAGTGTATCTATCATGGCCATTATTAACCCCTGACAAAGGGATGGGGTGTTGGCCAGTGAATAGGTAGGTGAGTTGGAAGGTACTCGAGGTGAATGAGTGATAATGCGTAGGCAGGTAGATAAGTATGCGGACAAGGGAATCAATTGCTTAGTGTGGGTTATAAATACTCATACACCTTCACAGCTACAACCCCAAAGCAAACCTTAAGAGAGAGGAGGTATAGGCCATTTGTTGAACCGACTTCACTCACCTTGAGCTTTAGACAGAAGCAACAGATGAATGCCAATCATCACGCGCTGTACAAAGCAAAGTGTTTCCATGCTTGCACGTCCGTTTTTGTATATCTCTCTAATGCTATAGCCAGCACACAGATGCCACTCGCCTCTGCCACACACTTTCTATGCAGGGGAAATGAAAATTGAAGCCAAGATAGCTATATACTGTATACATAAGGGGAAGGAAATAATTATTTTCTGTTCCTCTAGTAGTGACAGGTATGGTAGTGATGATAATAATGCGGTTACCTAGAGTAAAAAAAAATACCTCACGCATGCATAGCTGTCCGTTTAACTTTGTTTTTGTATTCGCTTGCAAGTTACCCACCAGTTAGGGATATTCCTCACAAAACGGACAATTGGTCTATTAAAATATCGATGTTCATCGTTCGTAATATTTATTTCTCAGAACCATGTTGGGTCAGGCAAAGGGAAGGGGGATGTCGGTTACTCGGTTGAAAGGAAATTCATCAAACCTCGTGCCTCTGGTTACAAATTCATCAGCCTTGTGAGAACCAACTCCAGAGGTTTTAATCTTGATTTGAAGCTTTCGTGACTGCAGGAATCCATACTCTTTGGTTCTTTCGGTAAAGTCACGTAGGTAGAAATCAAATTAAACGAATCACGACGTTTCGATCGCAACACAAGCAATCTTCATCAGGTGGAACAACCACAGCAATAAAAAATGCTGAAGTAGGCGAGAGAGGTTTTGTTCAGATTGTTGTACTTCGTCGTCGTCTCGTTTACCGCGGTTGAGTCCACTCCGACGGCTCACGACTCATGTCGCCCTCTCTCACCACCTGCGAGGGCTGCCTACCAAGGGGGATGTTTGGTGCCAAAATGTTGCATGATGAAAATGTAAAAAATAAAACGTTGTTTTTGGCTGGGAACCGCATTCGCGCAGTGTGCCGAACGGGAGGATATTCTTGGTTCTTTTGGTAAAGTCACATAGATAGAAAAAATAAAAGGAAAAATAATCAAACAAATTTATTTACTTTTATTTTTTATATCTACGTGGCTTTAACCGAAAGAACCAAGAATATGAATTCCTGCAGCCACTAAAGTTTTAAGTCAAAATTCGAAGAAGAGGGTGTTTGTTCGGTCAATCACACGTGCTTCCTTCGCTCCGGTTTCACAACGCGCCCTGTCATTGCGCGATCTCTCGGGTTTGAGGTCACTTGCATTGGGGAAATTGTTCTGACATTTTCACGCGAGCGTGGGCGGTAGTTGATAGTGGATATCGTTACGGATCTGGTCCATGGGCGGGGTTGGCCGCCCGAATGTGATTTCTCCATGTACTTCTCTATTCTGTTGAAAGCACTTCCCTCATGATTTGTGACAAGATATATGTTCCGGAGATGCTCGTGACTGGAAGATTTCGTGGATAATGATATTGGCCTACTAAAAGCTTTATGCAATCTCTCATCACTTGATCTCTTGTCACTTTATCTCGTCACGTTTTCTCTCATCACTTAATCTTATTACTTTATCTCTCATAACTTTATCTCATCACTTTCTCTCTCTAGATGCAGTCAGGTAGGGTTCTGGATCCACTTCGTGGATAGCCACAATCGCGCATGGCAGGTTCGTGAATAACACGGGAACACTGTACACTGTTTTTGTTTTGATCCTATTTTCCGTTGGGCACCATGGAAAATCATCACGTGAACTGGCGGCTTTAGGATGGCCATCGAACAAAGAGGGTCACCGCATCGCGCGGCGCTTCTAGATGCGCTTCCGCGGCCATCTGGAATGCTCTTCCTTCTGATATTAGGAAGCCACTGGAGCTAAGCACTTTTAAATCATCAAGATTGAAAACTAATATTTTTATAATTGCTTTTTTCTGTTTAGTTTGTTGTCCTTCCCCCGTCCGTCCGTCCGATTAGTGTGGTTTTATACGTATGGTGCGAAAGAAGTTCAACATCAATACATGGAAGGATGTGGGGTTCGAAAACAGAAAGTCTATAAGGGTTGGTTCAGAGTCTCTGACATGACCATTATGAATCCCATAAATATGAATGAGTCTTGAACATAAATAACCTTTTCCGTACCTGTTTCTGTATGTGAACTCTTAAGAGGCGTTTGTTTTAATACACAGCTTATAATAACTATTGCGTGTATTCCCAGTAATGCCTCAATATATATGGGTTGCACTCTAGAAAACTCGAACGTTAATTGCAACATCATGAATCGAAACATTCTCCCAAAAGGACGGATTATATATCCTAGAAGATACGTTCCTAATATATCTTCTCACCCTAAACCTATTAAAATAACGCTTCTCAACACAAATAAGATATATTTGACATGTAAATATGCACATTTTTACTAGACAGGTAATTGAATATATATAACGTACACTCTAACTTACTAAACTGGGAGGGTGAGGGACAGTAGGAGCGTCTACCTTCCAATGTGGTGGCGCGTACTGTATGTACAGTCCAACGCGTGTTTGACCATACAGTATGTACAGTCCAAAGCATGGTGGGTCGTACAGTATGTAAAGTCCAAAGCGTGTTAGGCCATACAGTACGTACAGTCTAAAGCGTGTTGGGCTGTACAGTATGTACAGTCCAAAGCATGTTTGGCCGTACAGTATGTACAGTCCAAAGCATGGTTGGCCGTACAGTATGTACAGTTCAAAGCGTGGTGGGTCAGTACAGTATGTACAGTCCAAAGCATGGTTGGCCGTACAGTATGTACATTTCAAAGTGTGGTGGGCCGTACAGTATGTACAGTCCAAAGCGTGGTGGGCCATACAGTATGTACAGTCCAAAGCGTGGTGGGCCATACAGTATGTACAGTCCGAAGCGTGGTGGGCCGTACAGTATGTACAGTCCGAAGCGTATTGGGCCATACAGTATGTACAGTCTAAAGCGTGTTGGGCCGTACAGTATATACAGTCTAAAGCGTGTTGGGCCGTACAGTATGTGCAGTCCAAAGCGTGTTGGGGTGTACAGTATGTGCAGTCCAAAGCGTATTGGGCCGTACAGTATGTACAGTCCAAAGCGTGGTGGGCCGTACAGTATGTACAGTCCAAAGCGTGGTGGGCCGTACAGTATGTACAGTCCAAAGCATGGTGGGCTGTACAGTATTTCGTAGATTTCTTCAGGATGAACAAAAGCAGCCAGTCCCTCTGGGGGACCCGGCTTATATCCTCTGTGGTGTGGCTGGCTCCGCCCTTGGCCACGACCACCTTCTAGAATCCTCGAGCAGGATCTCAACCCTGACACGTGACCATCCCTAGTCCCCACTTGGGGCCCCTGTGTAGACTTAACCGGTCATGTGTCTTCTGGGGTCAACCAGAGTGCCACGGCCTATAGTAACCCCATTCCCATGGCCAGCACTCTCACACCCTATGCTGTAGGGGTCGGCACTGCACGCCACGCGTAGTGCCATCCAGCGCTATCGATCAGCGCTCACCAAGCCCCTCTAGGGCCGGTACTGCACCCACATACTTGTGGTGCCCGTGATGTCAATACACCGCACGCCGTGCCTCTCCGGGCCCGGCATTACACAGTGACATCCGCTATGTCACTACACATGCAATGACGCAACCAGGCAACAGGGAGACTAAAAGTACATGTGTGGTTAATTTAAACAACCAACGACAGTTTAACACGTAGGCTTTCGCAACAACTATTATTTATAAGAGGTTATTTTGGGTCATAACGCGCAAATATAAATGCCGTTAAACCCGCCACCACTCGACAGCTAATTAGTAAGGTTTTCACTTTTAAAAAACATAGCAAATCGTTATTAGTACAGCACACCGGTGTGTTGGAGAGTAAACCCAGAACATTTCCAATTCGAGTACGACATTTTGCGAGTAACTACAAGCAGCCTCATCAGGTGACAGCCAGAGAATTGTGGAGAAATCCTCTTCCTGGTTCCATCTTAAATAGAGGGGATTGATGTGATGTCATGACTTGTGAGCCAATAATATGCAAAGACCAGAAGGGGGGGGGGTTAATGTAGTCATACAAATCTTGACTTAAAGCTTTCGTGACTGCAGGTATTCATATTCTTTGGGTCTTTCGGTAAAGTCATGTAGATAGGTAAAAAAAAACTTTTAAAAAACTACGACGTTTCGATCACAACACAAGCGATCATCAATTACAAAAAAACTATGACGTTTCGATCGCAACACAAGTGATCGTCACCTGATCACTTATGTAGTTTACAAATGTGTCACGTGATAAGTAACGCGTTGCTACGAATCATCCAGCCAATCGCTGGTGAGTAAGAGTCTCTCTCTATTGTGAGCAACTGGTTGCAAAGACGTCCTTGCATTTCAGTTGCACACAACCGATTGCACACAACCGATTGCAGCAACTGATCACGCAGGTTTGCGGACATTTATTTTATCGTTGCACACAAACACTGTGAAGCCGTTGTGTCAGTGAGCCTTGATCTGCTCAAGAAAATCCATCGCATCTCTATAGCCATCCTCGAAGTAGAGCTCCAGTTTCTCGCGCGACGGCGGAAAGAGCGCGTGCCAAAGGCGCTGCAGGTTGGCCATTCCCATCTGCATTCGCAGTCACACAGCAACAAAACAACACAAGATTCAATCGGATCACCACCTGAGCGATCAGTTCCCGCAATTGGTTGTGTGCAACTGAAATACACGGACGTCTCTGCAACCAGTTGCTCACAGTAGAGGCAGACTCTTACTCTCCAGCGATCTGCCCGACGATTTGTAGCAACTCGTTTTTATCACGTGACACATTTTCAAACGGAACTGGTAATGGATACCCGTTTTTATTATTTTACCAGGTAAGGCCCGCACTGAGGCTATGTAGCGCTTCTTTTCAGAAGCGACCCTTACTATTACACATGATAGCTAAATTAAGTGGGCAGCTTATCGTCATCATGACGTGGAAATGTATAGCAGCAAGCCAAATAACTCGAAAGGCGTAACGTCGATTCTAAATTTGGAGGGGGAAAAAACGGAGGACCCGGAGACAAATGAACGCAACCACGGGGAGAGAGAGAAACACGCAGACTCCAAATATACAACAGGTGTCGGGATCGGGATCGAACCCACGACCTCCTGTATACCAAGCGAGGTGGTTAACATCTCGCCATCATTTTGATACTGAGAAAAAACAACAGGTCCCATACAGATATGGACGAGTTATAACTCGTGACTGATATTCACCTTGAAATCGAGGCCGGCATACCGCAGGATGCGCCCGTCCGTCGGGCAGATGCCGCGCGGACAGATGGCCTGCGTGCCCTCAAAAGGCGACACGCTGATGAGGCCTTGCGAGGCGGAGACTCCGCAGGGCTGGGCCAACTTGGGGAAGGGTTGATTGTCGGTGAACCCTCCGTCGCAGTACATCTGGGAAGGTGACGGCAACAGCAGTGGTTAGAAGAAACGGGCCGCGAGATGTTATCTCCCTCGTCTGGTATGTAGGAGGTCTGGGGTTTGATCTATGACCCTGACGATGCCTGTTGTATATTTGGAGTTTGCGGTGTCTCTCTCGCCGTGGCCACGTGGATTTTTCTCCAGATCCTCCCGCTTTTTCCCTCCATATTTACTAGAACCGTGTGTTTTGATTATTTGGCTGTGACTATATATTTCCACGAGATAAGCCGCTTTGTTTAGCTATCATTTGTGGCCAGGTCACTTCTGGAAAAAGAGCCATATAGCTCAGTGGGTGTTACCTGGTAAATAAATTAGTTTAATATTCGTCAATTACTTGTAATGTTCCGAATCAGAATCTTTACTTATACTGGAGGATGAGCTATGAAGCTCTCTTTCACAGCTTTCCAGCAGGGGCAGGTCAGCAAGTTAAAATGGTAAACAATAACAAAACCCACCACCTCCTTGTATACCAGGTCGAGGTGGGTAACATCTGCCACCGGGACGCATCCTGCCATTTCCCATTCCCGCTCGATTTATTTTGCTTTGACGCCAGAGGTCGCAACCGGGTACCCGATACCCGTACCCTACCCGATAACCGGCTACCCGTACCCGGCCGGGTACGGGTACAGGTACCCGTTTGCGACCCTGGTGCGGCCGGGTACGGGTAGGCCGTGAGTCACTGGTGAGTAACCGTTTGTCACTCATTTCCCAACGTCTTGTCTCTTCTCACAATTCAAGTTCCTAGAATCAACCGACCCGCGCCTGCAACATGGCTTCATCCCAGAGGTCGCAATCAGGTACCCGATACCCGTACCCTACCCGTACGGGTACGGCCGGGTACGGGTACCCGTTTGCGACCCTGGTGCGGCCGGGTACGGGTAAGGAATCAAAACCCGTTTGCGACCTCTGTTTGACGCCAACGTCAGTGACCCTCTGTTCACCGCTTTTATTATTTAAATTCCTCAAACTATTTGTCTTACTCCGAGCCCACTTCTTTCTACAGCTCTCCAGCAAAATGATCTTCACAATCATTAAGCAGTATTAAGTTAAATCTAAAAACTCACCTTTTACTTTTATAGTGTTATTTTTTTAATATGCATTCGAAAGTAACTTATTATAATGAAATTTTGTTTTGTATGGAATTTGCTTTTATTATTCTTGTGATTGAGTCTTTTAATAATGTTTTTTAAAATATCTATACAGCACTTTGAATGGCATCCTTTGCACGAAATAGTGCGATAGAAATAAAGACTTGATTTATTTGATCTGGTAAGATTATTATTATGTTATTATTTAAGGCCCGTGTCCTGACGATCCGTCCAGAGTTTACACACATTTCAAACGTGTTTTTTAAATGCACGCAGGCGAATCTGTTTTTAAGAAAGACTATTAAAGAGCGGGTGGCCGTTGTTTCCAAGCTAGCAATACATTTTTTTGCACTGTCTGAGTGGAATATCACAGCGGGAATATTTCTGGGGGGTGTTCGGTGGGCAAGGGAGAGGGCGAGGAAGAAACGAAATCACATTTACCTCTCCTCTATAGCATATCCCAGAGATTCCCGAATAAAACGGAAAGAGGCAGCTTGCCAGCAGAACCTGGAGGAGAAGGAGGGCAGATGCAAATGCAGCGCTGATAGGTGAGCATTTAACGAGTGTGGCAATCGAACTTTACTTTAGTTGTTTACGTGGTGGTTTAGTTACTGCAGATACATACTATTAACATTCCTTCTCTTTATTAATGCTACCCCTACCCCCTCCCTTTGATGCTGCTAATCCTGCATAATGCACGGGCATAATGACTTTAAACCCCTCGCCAAACCCCCTACGCATTTCACAAGTAGGGGTTGTCATTCAGACGCTGTCTTCTCGACAGACCTGTTCTTCACCTGAGGACGGCTGCTTGCGTTGTGGCCGAAACGTCGTGAGAATTATTTTATTATGTTTTATTTTTATTATTTTATTACTTCCCTTCTACGTGTCTTTAAAACTGCTTTTCGTGTTTAGTTTGTTGCCCTTCCCCCCTGCACCTCTGATTAGCATGGTTGGGTACGTATGGTGCGAAAGAAGTTCCAACATACGTACACACTTACGTACCTGTATGAGCTCCTCTCTCGTGTCGAAGTCCGATATGATGCGGTTCTGTCCATCAGGAAGTCGAGTCACCGATACAAAGAGACGCCCGGTGGCCAGGGTGTGAGAGTCCAGTGGTAGAATCTGCTCCAGAATCTCTCTGTAAGGAACAAAGACAGATAACCCCCACCATGTAGTAATGATAAGAATAATAGCACCTCCAATGAGCACGGTTGGCTTCTAGGTGTGAGGCATGCGTGTTCCCAATGCGTCTTCACTATATCGCGCCGTTCTTCCATTAGGAAACACTTTTGGCACGACGAGGAATACGCGCTGTTATAACGCTGAACGCGCACGCTGTTATGTGGAACGCCCGCACCGTTATAACGCGGAACGCATACACCATTACAATGCGCACACCGTTAATAACGCGGAATGAGCGCACCGTTATAGCGTCCCCCACTCCTCCTGATGCCGTGGGGAAATGGGCGAGGTTTAGCACTGTGGCTCATGCAGCTGCAATGGCTGCTATGGGTACACGCACGGTCCAGACCTCCCCAGAGACCCATGGCTGACAGAGGAGGTGTTCAAGCTGGCTGAGGAAAGCCACAGGCCCACTCTCATCGGCTACAGCATCCCATGTCAGAGAACGAGTTGGCTAACTGCAGCCTTCGCTCGGAGGTTCGGAGAGACGTGAGACGCTGGAAGGATGGGTGGTGGTCGCGGTTCCTGAGAAGATGGAGTCTGCCTCAATAGCTCGTGATCACAAATCACTCTGTAACTCCATCAAAACAGTAACTTGCAGCACCACACCTATCACCACTATTAGGGGAAAGAACGGTGATCTAATTTCCTACCTTCAGGAACAGGTTTGCAAATTTGATGAGCATTTCTGAGGTCTTGGGGAAGGGGGAAATCCCTCAGCCTGGAACACATCATGGAGCAAAGTGGGGATGACCCTGCTGAGGCTGCGGTGCCTCAAATATTGAAGTAATCGCCCCCTGTGAGTGGCTGGTTGAGGTGCTATTTCTTTTGGAAGTATAGAAGGCGATCCAGAGTCTGATGCCAGAAAAAGCACCGGGTTGAGATGATCTCTCAGGCCAAATGCTGAGGGAGGGTGGCGTTTGTGCGTACGCTGTCCTACATGGCATCATAATAACAATCCGGTGGTCCCCCTCTTTAAGAAGGGGACCGCAAAGACTGTAACAACTACAGGGGCATCTCACTCCTCAGTGTACCAGAAAAATTATTGGCAAGGTTATTCAACATCGCCTTGCCAGGCACGCTGAGGAAAGGCTTACAGAGCCCCAATGTGATTATGAAAAAAGGCAGTCCTGCACAGATGCCATATTTTCTGTCCGTCTGCTACAGCAGAGGTGTAGGGAATTCCAACAAGACCTACATCTCTGCTTTATTGACCTGGTCAAGGCCTATGATACGAACAGTAGGCCTGGGCTTTGGGTTGTTCTTTGTGCTTTTGGAGTCCCTGAATCTCTGCTCACAATCATTAAGGACCTTCATGATGGTGAGCAGGCCCGGGTAAAACTACGTGGCCGGGAGTCGGAGCCTTTCCATGTTCATCTTGGGGTGCGACAGGGATGTCCTTTGGCTCCCAAATTATGTATCATCTATTTCAACAACATAGTTCGTGAAGCTTTCCATGGCTGTATCGGAGGAATTTCCATATGGTACAGATACAATGGGAGGCTGATCGATGCCCGGGTGCGGTCAAGGGATTGCTCAATATTGGTCAACCACGTTATGTATGCTGATAATCTGGTAATTGCTGTTCACTCAGAGGAGTTGGAGGCGATGCTGCTGAACCTGGAGCTTGCCATTAAGAGGTGGGGCCTTACCATCAACCCCACCAAAACTAAGCACCTGCCTGGTTATTTTGTACCATCGGACACTCCACAACTCACAATTGGTAATGGGGCAGTTGTGGAGAGCGTGGAGAGTTTCCCATACCTGGGCAATATGCTCATGACTGGCTCTGGTTTGACAGCAGAGGTCTCACTCCGAATCAGTTGAGCGGCATTATCTTTTCATCAGTTGCGTAATGCTGTGTGGAAGCTACCTGGTCTGTCGCTCCACGCGAAGCTTCAGGTCTTCTCAGCCACAGTCATGCCCTCCCTTCTCTACGCTTGCGAAACCTGGACCCCCCTAATGGGACATCGACGGTTAGAAATTTTTAGGCCCATCGGTGAGCTGCTCCGGCAGGCAAGGCTGCGTTGGCTGGGTCATGTAGCCAGCATACCCAGCCACCTCATGCCTAAACAGCTTTTGCTCGGCCAGATAGAGGGGGGCTAAACGGGCGCAGCACAGGCTAGAGAAGAGATGGAGTGATGTGGTGGTACAAGAGGATTTGGAGCTGAGTGCCGGGCAGCTAAACACAGCAATCTGGCACAGTCAGTCGACCCATGACACCTGGGTCTGCCCCGTCACCTCAAGCCAGCGGGTGTTCGAAACTTTACGTGGCCTCAACGTGCACATCGCCTGGCACAAGCGCCGTGGTGACGTCACCGCCACTTAGTGTGAATGGTGGTTGTTGTTGTGTGTGTGTGTCTGTGCGTGTCTCCGTGTGTGTGTGCATGTCTGTGTGATTCCAGCGGAGCGGTAGTGTAGCGGTTAGCGCGCTGCACTACTAGGAACCCGGCGACACAAGTTCGATTCCCGCTCACAGCCACCAACACCAGTGACGATTATCTGAACCGGTCCTGGGCCTTCTCCCCAAGGTCGACTCAGCCTAAAATGAGTACCTAAGAGTGGCGGTGTGTCGTATCGGCCTTCGTATGTGCTACTCGCTAACAGCACTTGCCCCAACAGTCTGTCAAGGCTACACGGGGGATCTTTGTCTTTGTTTGTTCTCACACACCTCAGCTTGGGAATGAGTCTGAAACTCAGGGTCGCTCCGTGTCCTTGCGCTGCGTACGAACTCACCATCGATGACATTTCCTGGAACACACAAAAAAAACAGACAAAGACAAAGATCCCCCACTGTGGAGCCTTTGAGTCACTTGTGAGGAGCCAGGGTGGGTGAGTGAGTGTACAGGTGGGTGAGTGAGTGTACAGGTGAGTGAGTGTACAGGTGAGTGAGTGTACAGGTGAGTGAGTGTACAGGTGAGTGAGTGTACGCGTGAGTGAGTGTACAGGTAAGTGAGTGTACAGGTGAGGGTACAGGTGAGTGAGTGTACAGATGAGTGAGTATACAGGCGAGTGAGTGAGTGTACAGGTGAATGAATGAGTGTACAGGTGAGTGAGTGTACAGGTGAGTGAGTGTACAGATGAGTGAGTGTACAGGCGAGTGAGTGTACAGGTGAGTGAGTGAGTGTACAGGCGAGTGAGTATCCGGGTGAATGAGTGATTGTATGGGTGAGTGAGTGAGTGTACAGGTGGGTGAGTGAGGGTACGGGTGAGTGAGTGTACAGGTCAGTGAGTGTACAGCTGAGTGAGTGAGTGTACGGGCGAGTGAGTGAGTATCCGGGTGAGTGAGTGAGTGTACATGTGAGTGAGTGAATATCCGAGTGAGTGTACAGGTGAGTGAGTGAGGGTACAGGTGAGTGAGTGTACAGGTGAGTGAGTTAGTGAGTGTACAGGATGAGTGAGTGTACAGGTGAGTGAGTGTACAGGTGAGTGAGTGAGTGTACATGTGAGTATCCGGGTGAGTGAGTGTACAGCTGAGTGAGTGTACAGGCGAGTGAGTGAGTGTATTGGTGAGTGAGTGTACATGTGAGTGAGTATCCGAGTGAGTGAGTATACATGTGAGTGAGTGAATATCCGAGTGAGTGAGTGTACAGGTGAGTGAGTGAGGGTACAGGTGAGTGAGTGTACAGGTGAGTGAGTATACATGTGAGTGAGTGAGTATCCGAGTGAGTGAGTGTACAGGTGAGTGAGTGTACAGGTGAGTGAGTGTACAGGTGAGTGAGTGAGTGTTCAGGTGGGTGAGTGTGAGCCACCTTGCTCCTGTGAGGAGCCAGGGTGAGCAGGGCTGCTGCCAGTGAGCCGCTGGAGGAGCCGGCCGCGTGAGCGATGGGCACGCCGTGCGCGTGCAGAGCCATGCAGATTCCGAGTTGGTAGGGCAGCAGGAACCCAGCACCGGGCATGGACACCGACCAGCTTACCAACAAAGGGACCGTCCATAAATGACGTCACGCGATTTTGGACGATTTTTGACCCCCCGCCTCCACCCCAAAAAATAAAACACGCTTCAAATCGCTTTAAACTATTGTCATTGTAGTGCGTATTTAATGTGGCGGTGCACTCTGATGTTGTAGGAGAAAACATTTATTCAAAAAGTATATTTAATTAAGTAGAACGTGTTGTCTATATTTATTTAAAGTTGCGCATTTTGATGCGACGTCACATATCTCAACCCCCCCCCCCCTCGTCACACATCGTCACAAATATCTGCCCCCCCCCCCACCATAGGTGCGTGACGTCATTTATGGACGGCCCTCAAAGCACTTAATTTACCTTTCGATATTTTCTCTCTTTCTGCAAACTCGTTCATCTCCCGGCTCCGCGTCGTCGTTCAATTCAAACGAATCCTGAAAGCGACGAAAGACACGACGGGGTTTTATTTTATGTTGTTCAATGTATCAACAAAACAAAACAATCATCGACAGCCCATCGAGTAAAAGGGTGAAGTCGTCACCATCGCCGCGCGGCGCTTACAAGATGCGCCGCTCCCTGCGGCCGTCTGGAACGCGCTCTTCCTTCCGATAGGGGCCGTCCATAAATGACGTCACGCGATTTTGGACGATTTTGACCCCCCCCCCCTCGTCACACGGCGTCACAAAAAGTCAGACCCCCCCCCACTCAAATATGACGTCACAAAGCTCTGCCCCCCCCCCCCCCCCCAAAATAAAACATGCTTCAAATCGCTTTAAACTATTGTCATTGTAGTGCGTATTCAATGTGGTGCTGCACTCTGATATTGTAGGAGAAAACATTTACCAAAGTCTATTTAATTAAGTAGAACGTGTTGTCTACATTTATTTAAAGTTGTACATTTTGATGTGACGTTACATCTCTCAACCCCCCCCCCCCCTCGTCACACATCGTCACAAATATCTGCCCCCCCCCCAGGTGCGTGACGTCATTTATGGACGTCTCCATGTTAGAAAGCTACTGCGAGTTTCGCTGCACTTTAAAATCGTCATCATCGTCATCCACATTGACAAACTCAATTCCCCAGGGCTGCTTTTTGTGAGTAGCGCGGGGTTGGTTACTTACGGCGCCAAAGAAGTTCAACAACATCCACACGTTGAGAAGCGTTGCCTCTTGTGGGTCGACATTCAGAATTATCAAACCAGGGCAGAAGGTTTCTGTGAGTGTGTGTGAGCGTGTGTGTGTGTGCGTGTGGCTGTATGTGCAATGCGTGTGTGTACGTGTCTGTGTGAGCGGTAGTGTAGTGGTTAGCGCGCTGCGCTATGAACCCGGCGACACAGGGTTCGATTCCCGCGCACAACATCAGTGACAATTATCTGAACCCGTCTCGGGCCTCCCCTAGGTCGACTCAGCCTCAAATGAGTACCTGGTGTGGTGTGTAAACATTGCCACTAGGGAGACAAAGGCGGTCGGGCGTGGTGATGGCCACCCACCCCCTCTCGTGTACCGTTCCGGCCTTCATAGGTGTTCGCTAACAGCACTTGCCCCTACAGTCTGTTAAGGCTACACGGGGGGATCTTTGTGTGGATGTGTGCATATGTGTGTGCGACGTTGGGGCTGAACAATTTGGGGGAAATCTCTAATTGCGATGTTTCTGACATATGTTGCGATTACATTTTTATAAAGTTAAGCCTCAGTTCAATATTCACTGTGGAAGAGATTTAAAACATGTGATGGAGCATTACCACATGATACCGTCAAAATATGAACTGCTCTATATATTCTAATGCGAGGATGAGAACTTAAAAGAAATCAATTGCTTCCAGCATGTATTTATTAAAATGTTTTAATTGAAATAGAACAATCAAACATAGAACAATTGTTAAGTTAAATAAGTAATGTTATAATAATAGGACTTGAAAAATCGAAGCCTTTGCGAATTGCTAAGCGCATTGTTTCAAATTGCGATTTCGATTTGAAATCGATTCATCGTTCAGCCCGAGTGTGCGTGTGGATGTGTGTGTGTGGGGAGCGGTGGTGTAGCGGTTAGCGCTAGGAACCTGGCGACCCGAGTTCGATTCCCGCTCACGGCCAAAATCAGTGACGATTATCTGAACGGGTCCTGAGTCTCCCCTAGGTCGACTCAGCCTCAAATGAGTACCTGGTGCGATGTGTAAACATCGCCACTGGGGAGACAAAGGCGGCTGGGCGGTGGTGCTGGCCACCCACCCCCTCGTGTGCCATGCTGGCCTTCATAGGTGATCGCTAACAGCACTTGCCCCAACAGTCTGTTTCAGGCTATAAGGGGGATCTTTGTCTTTTTGTGTGCATGCGCGTGTGTGTGTGCGTGCACATGTGTGTGTGTCTGCACGTGTGTGCGTGCGTGTGTGTGTGCATGCACGTGTGTGCGTGCGTGCACGTGTGTGCGTGCACGTGTGTGTGTGCGTGTGTGTGTGCGTGCGTGTGTGCGTGCGTGTGTGTGCGTGCGTGTGCGTGCGCGTGTGTGTGCGTGCGTGTGTGTGTGCGTGCGTGTGTGCGTGCGCGTGCGTGCGTGTGTGTGCGTGTGCATGCACTCAGCTCACCCTGATGGTGAACAATGCTGCATTGACGAACGCTCGCGTGATGATTACCAGAAAACACGCGGCATACATCAGTGCCTTGCAAAGCACAATAATAGCTTCCATCCTGTACACACAGCAAGACAAAGATCCCCCGTATAGCCATTAGCAGGCTGTTGAGGACAAGTGCTGTTCGCGAGCAGTAACTATGAAGGCCAGAACGGCACACGAGGGCTGGGTGTCCAGCACCACGCACGCCCGCCCGCCTTTGTCTTCCCAGTGGCGATGTTTACACACCACACCAGGTACTCATTTGAGACTGGGTCGACCTAGGGAAGGCCCAGGACCGGTGCAGATAATCGTCACCGGTGTTGGCCGTGAGCGGGAATCGAACCTGGGTTGGCCAGGTTCGTAGCACACGCAGACACACGCACACACACGCACACGCACCCACAGACACACGCAGACACATGCACACGCAGACATACACACACACACACGCACACATACACACATGCACACATAGACACATTCACACGCAGACATACACACAGACACACACACGCACACATACACACATAAACACATTCACACGCAGACATACACACAGACACATACGCACACACACATTCCTATAATCAGGCCACTATCGGGGAAAAGGACCCAACGCATTCGCCAATAACAAGCAGTGTGCATCGCCTCGAAACGGACACGTGCTGGGCGACGTTTCGGGCAACGACCCTATGCCGTGGCACATAAACAGAGAGAGTGAGTGGATGATAAGAGTTTAGGGGGCCATGATGAGAGTTGCATTTCCAAATTATTTCGTGATCAGTTTTCAAATTGGTATGTGCATACCTGTCAATCCCGGATCAGCCCCCTATCTTATGAGAGACCAATTCAGACCTTATTGATCACCCCGTGCCCTTCTAGATCTCAACGTTCATCCAATACACTATACACTACTTAATCGGGTCCTTATACAACCGGTGCCAGGTACAAGAACTCATTTACAGCTGAGTCATAGCCACTATCAGTTCCGAAATTGCTCGCCACATTCATGCTGGGCGTCGCGGTGGCTGAGATGTTAACATCTCATAGCCACCGTGATGATGATAAGAGAGAGAGAGACACGCAAACTCCAAATCTACAGCAGCAGGCGTCAGGGTTGGCATCGAACCCCACGACCTCCTGGACACACCACCCAGGTGAGAGAGCGAGAGAGGGGAGGCGAACATTGACTTGAGCAGATTATAGTGGCGTAGGGCAATGGGTCATTGCTGTTACTGCCTCCTGATAGATAAGCCCATGATTCATTTAGGGCTGCCCCACTCAAGGATGTTGTAACAGCAACACCACCTCGCACCACGCACCGTGTTTCACAACCCGGTGCGAGGTTCGCCAGTTTCGACTCCACCAATGCGGAGGGGGCGGAATTCACGGTGGCTAGGCGATGTTAACTACCTCGCCTGGTACGTAGGAAGTCGTGGGTTCGATCCAGACCCTGACGCGTGCTGCTGTATATTTAGAGTTTGCGTGTCTCTTTCTCATCATCATCACGGTGGCTAGGAGATGTTAACTACCTCGCCTGGTACGCAGGAAGTCGTGGGTTCGATCCAGACCCTGACGCCTGCTGCTGCTGTATATTTAGAGTTTGCGTGTCTCTCTCTCATCATCATCACGGTGGCTAGGAGATGTTAACTACCTCGCCTGGTACGCAGGAAGTCGTGGGTTCGATCTAGACCCTGGCGCCTGCTGCTGTATATTTAGAGTTTGCGTGTCTCTCTCTCATCATCATCACGGTGGCTAGGAGATGTTAACTACCTCGCCTGGTATAAAGGAGGTCTTAGGTTCGATCCCGACCCTGACGCCTGCTGTATAGAGTTTGTGGTGTCTATCTCGCTCCTCTGTGATCGCGTGGATTTTTTTTACCTCCGGCTCCTCCAGTTTTTTTGCCCTCCCCGACACATTTAAAATCAACATCGCGCGTTCATAGATCATGTGGCTGCTGCTGCTACACATTTCCACACGGTAACAATCCCACTTCATTGTGATATCCAGGTCGCTTCTTTAAACAAAAGAATAACTAACAGCTCAGTGGGCTTTCATACCCGGTAAAATAAAAGTTACATATTCTTCTTCTTGGTTCTTTCGGTAAAGTCACGTGACTTTATCGAAAGAACCAAGAAGATGAATCCCTGCAGTCACGAAAGCTTAAAATCGAAATTTACATATTCTTTTGAAGTTTGAAACTGACGTTAACTGAAAGAGCGTCAAAACTCGCTGCTGATTAAATAATTCACGCGCGGGATAACCCTCATCCATCTGTGGATTGACAGTCGGAGTTTGACTCGACACTCACTCACCTGCTCACCTGTGTGACGGTGTCGTCAAGGTGGGTCTTGCTCGTGCCCGTTGACGCCCGAGAGACGACACGACCGAAGTGACCCCTCCGTCTGAGACAGACACTGACCCCCTGACAACACGCGGCACGCGGCAGCGGGGAAAACCGGGCGACCCACCCACACACCCCATACCACACACCAACCCCTCTCTCTATCACCCACCATCTCTACCACCCACACGCCCCATACCACACCAACCCCTCTCTCTACCACCCACCCACCCACCATCTCTACCACCCACACACCCCATACTACACCAACCCCTCTCTCTACCACCCACCCACCATCTCTACCACCCACACACCCCCTCTACCACCCACCCACCCCATACCACACCAACCCTCTCTACCACCCACCCTACTCTCTCCCACCCACCCACCAACCAACCCTCTCTACCACCCACACACCCACCCCCTCTACTACCCACCCCCTCTACCACCCACCCTCTCTACCACCCACCCACCCCCTACCACCCACCCTCTCTACCACCCACCCACCCCCTTCCACACCAACCCTCTCTACCACTGACCCCCTTGCACACCAACCCTCTCTACCACCCACCCACCAACCCTCTCTACCACCCACCCACCCTCTCTACCACCCACCAACCCTCTCTACCACCCAACCACCCCCTCTACTACCCCCCTCTCTACCCCCCACCCACCACGCACGACCCTCCCGCACTCTCAGGGGCGGTGTCACGGACCCAGCCGTAGCGCGGTTCGCAGCCCGTTCTTTGTTGCAGCAGCAGAAGTAGCAAGAGGTTTCGTGGTTCGAACTTCGGGGGCCACCCTGGTCAATACCGCGGTAGTACATTTGTATGCAATGTATGTGTTGAACTTCTTTCGCGCCGTACGTAGCCAACCGCGCTAATCGGAGGGTGTGGGAGCGATGACTAACAGGGCGGTTCCTTCTTTCTTTCTTTTTACAAAGAACGAGAGTTGCGGGTTGGAACGGGTGGGAATCGTGACTAGGAGATGTTGACCACCTCGCCTGGTATGGAGGAGGTTGTGGGTTCGATCCCCGACCCCCTGACGCCTGCTGTATATTTGGAGTTTGTGTCTCTCTCATCATCATCATCACGGTGGCTAGGATATGTTAACTCCCTCGCCTGGTATGCAGGATGTCGTGGTTTCGATCGCAACCCTGACGATGCCTGCTGCTGCTGTATATTTGGAGTTTGCGTATCTCTCTCTCTCTCATCATTATCATCACGGTGGCTCGGAGATGTTAACTACCTCGCCTGGTATACAGGAGGTTGTGGGTTCCGATTCCGACCCTGACGCCTGCTGTATACTTGGAGTTTGCGTCTCTCTCATCATCATCATGGTGCCTATGAGATGTTAACTACCTCGCCTGGTATACAGGAGGTCGTGGGTTCCAATCCTGACCCTGACGCCTACTGTATACTTGGATTTTGCGGTGTCTCTCTCCCCATGGTTACGTGGATTTTTCTCCGGGTCCTCCGGCTTTTCCACTCCACCATTTAGCATCAACGCCACGGGATTAGTGTAGGTCGCTGCTGCTATTTCCGCGTGATGCCGATGAGAACGCTGTCTCCCCGACAGACCTGGTCTTCACCCGAGGACGGCTGCTTGCGTTGTGGCCGAAACGTCGTGAGAATTATTTTATTACGTTTTATTTTTATTATTTTATTACTTCCCTTCTACGTGACTTTACCGAAAGAACCAAGAAGATGAAGCCCACTCAGTTGAGTCATCATTTGTCATAGCCAGGCCGCGTTCTAAAACGAGCTGTAAGAGCTCAGTGGAGGCCTTACCCTGGTCAAATAAAAAAAAAACATAGTCTAGTTTTAGTTGTCGTCTTCTCTATGTTGCACTCACATCGCCTTCTGTATTCGTTCGTTTGTCGATGGAACTTGCCGACACCCACGCAACCTACGAGACATCTGCGGGAATAAAAAACAAGTATAACCCGTAAAAACAAAGTTTTTCACTCTAAATCCTTGATATGCGTGGCGGCTAGAGTCCTCTCGTCCTCTGGCTTGAGATGGCTGCCACCTATGGGTCAGATGATTGCCTGCCACCATTAAGCAATTGGTAATTAAATATATTTTTTTAAAAATCCTAAAAAGTGTAAAATTTTGGAATTTTTTTCACGAAAATAAATTGTCACGCACAACGAGTCTGTGTGCAAAATGTCAGCTCGATTGGGTCACGGGAAGTGGGTTAAAAAACGACCGAAAGATTTGCACGGTCGTAAGCACGCAAGCAAGCAAGTGAACTTAATATAAAGGATTTAAAAAGAGACTCACTGCACATCCCATTCCTCCACCTGCAGGATCTATTGCTTGTGTTGCAATCGAAACGTCGTATGCTAGTATTTAATTTATTATTTTCTCTTGATACGTGACTTTACCGAAAGAACCAAAGAGTAATTCCTGCAGTCACGAAAGCTCCAAATTAAGTATAGGATCAATACAATATTCAGATTCTGGCCGGATCTTAGGTTCATAATGACGACGACGAGGATGATGATGATGATGCTGCTGCAAAAAAATAATAGGCTTAATAAAAAGTAAAACATGGATAGTCCGGGGGCAGATTTCAGAAGTGCACATCGTCAGAACGCTGCTGTTACATCTCGTACAGAACAAAACAAGGCGTGTCGCGGTTTGGAATTTGAATTGTAAATGTTTTTCATTTGTTTTCGCCCTTTAGGGATGCACAAAAAAGCAATCGTACTTTCAAAGAACGAGAACCGCCCGCCAAAGCAACGTTCTGACGATGTTCGCCGGTTCGGTCCACCACCCTTCCCCAGCGGCCACGCCAGTTAATTCGTGCGTGCGTTTGGGCGGCTTAGCTGTCTTGGACTTTGCACGACTGTCGTTGATTCCCGGAACTGTGTCTTTTGGTGTAACGTTCTTACGCCGTGGCCCCGAACGGGACATCTGTGAACAAGAATCTCGTGGCTCGTAGGGTTCCTTATCCGTTATGAATAAATATTCAGATTCTGAGCGAAGTGCGGGACGTGAGAGAGATGAAGGGGGTAGCCCCCGTGGAAGGATTTGCATCGTTGAGACTCAATCCTGGTCACCCTGAGTTCTCAACCAAATTGCAGGACACTTACTCGACCGAGTAGTCGCGCCAGCAGAGTGTATGTGTGCACGCGGATTGACAAACTTGTCACTTCAGAACGTTCAACATACATACAACACTGCACCATGGACTCCACACTGCACCATAGACTCAACACTGCACCATAGACTCAAAACTGCACCACAGACTCATCACTGACACCACAGACTCATCACTGACACCACAGACTCATCACTGACACCACAGACTCATCACTGCACCATAGACGCAACACTGCCTAGAGACTCAACACTGCACCATAGACTCATCACTACACCATAGACTCAGCACTACACCATAGACTCAGCACTACACCATACTCAGTACTGCCCATAGACTCAACACTGCACCATAGACTCAGCACTGCCCATAGACTCAACACTGCCCATAGACTCAGCACTGCACCATAGACTCAGCACTGCCCATAGACTCAACACTGCCCATAGACTCATCACTGCACCATAGACTCATCACTACCCATAGACTCAACACTGCCAATAGACTCAGCACTGCCCATAGACTCAACACTGCCAATAGACTCAGCACTGCCCATAGACTCAACACTGCACCATAGACTCAACACTCCACCATAGACTCAACACTCCACCATAGACTCAACACTGCACCATAGACTCAACACTGCCCATAGACTGAACACTGCCCATAGACTCAACACTGCCCATAGACTCATCACTGCACCATAGACTCAATACTGCACCACAGACTCAGCACTGCCCATAGACTCACCACTGCCAATAGATTCACACATCCCCTTGTGAATGAAGCATCTCCCCTCCTTAACTTCATTCCGTCCCCCTCTCTTAAAGCCCCCTCCCCCCTCTTCTCCATCACCCATTTCCTTCCCTCCCCTCGCCCCTCCACTCATTCCCGTCCCTCCCCTATAACCCTCCCGTGATCCCCAAACTTACCACTCTTATCGTGACCCCCTATCCTACCCCTCAACCCCAAACGCCGCACCCCCCATCGTGGCCACCCCAAGACCTCATCTCTCCCCGCACGCCTCTGGCCACCTGCATCGTTCTTTCATTGAGCCAGAGGCGCTTTACGAATGACAAAATAATAACAAGATAATATTGCGTGTACAAAGGGGCACAGCCTTACCCACACCACCGACTCAATAGAACTGAACGTTGTGGCCAAGTAGTTGTTTTTTTCTAGTATCACCGACTCAAGGAGCTGGGAAACGAAAGGCCCCCCCCCTCCATCCCAATGGCCGGTTAAAAATCACATAGCGCTGGCAGTGTATATGCCAGAGGTCGCAAACGGGTTTTGATTCCTTACCCGTACCCGGCCGCACCAGGGTCGCAAATGGGTACCCCTACCCGTACCCGGCCATACCCGTACCCTACCCGTACCCGGCCGGGTACGGGTAGGGTACGGGTATCTGATTGCGACCTCTGGGATGAAGCCATGTTGCAGGCGCGGGTGGGTTGATTCTAGGAACTTGAATTGTGAGAAGAGACAAGACGTTGGGAAATGAGTGATAAACGGTGACTCACCAGTGACTCACGGTCTACCCGTGCCCGTACCCGGCCGCACCAGGGTCGCAAACGGGTACCCGTACCCAGTCGGGTACGAGTAGCCGGGTACGGGTAGCCGGGTATCGGGTACCCGGTTGCGACCTCTGGTATATGCTCGAGAAGAATTACCCATCGTATATCTTCTGCACATGGGCCATTGCTCGAAACGTCGCCTGTTATATCGTTTTCCTTCCAAGGCGTCGAACAGCTTTTGTTGCCCTGCCCCAAAGCTCGCTCGTTGACCTTTGAAGCCGATTTTTTTGTGTGTTTGTTTTGGGAAGACAGGTGAAGGACCCTAACCCCATCCCCGTCAACCTTCGGAGGCTCACAACAAAATTACAACTCCATTCTCTGCCTCCCTTGGGGCAGCATTTTTGCGGGTTTTTTGTTTGTTTGTTTTGTTTTAAGCCATTCTTCGAAGTTTAAAACGAACAGACAACATGCGGAGAGAGAGA